TCTCAGCAGACAGGCAGGAAAACCACTCTAAAAGGGACAAATGTGACCATGTCACCAACGATCTCCACGACTTCCTGACATCAGCTTAGCTTCTGAGTCCAGAATGGAATTCAAAGTGGAGAAACTTCCCTTCACCTACAGAGTTGGCTTGAAAGAGAGTTTTGGGGGTTTTTTTGGTTTGGTTGTTTTTTTTTTAAATTTTTTAAAATATTTTATTTATTTATTTGACAGACAGAAATCACAAGTAGGCAGAGAGGCAGGCAGAGAGAGAGGAGGAAGCAGGCTTCCCTGCTGAGCAGAGAGCCTGATGCGGGGCTGGATCCCAGGACCCTGAGATCATGACCTGAGTCGAAGGCAGAGGCTCAACCCACTGAGCCACCCAGGTGCCCCTGAGAGTTTTTTACAGCATTTTTCTTCATCTGTGAAGCCAGACAACATGCTCTGTCATAAAAACTTAAAAAACGGTATTAGAAGGTTATAAAGTTGAACATGGACGTCTGCCCTCCGTCCTGTCCACACGCCCCACCCCCGACCGTAACCACTGTGAACAAATTAGAACCTACACAGTTTATACAAACGCAAAAACAAGACCACACGAAACTATACTGTTCTGTGGCTTGCTTTTTCCACTTACCATTATCCTATGGTTACCTTTCCACATCAGCAGACATAGTTCAACCTCATTCTTTTTTTAAAGATGTATTTATTTAATTTAAAGGGAGAGCATGGTGGGGAGGGGCAGAGGGAGAGAGTAACTCAAACAGACTCCTGCGGAGCATAGAGCCCGACTCAGGGCTCAGTCCAACGACCGGGAGATCGTGACCTGGGATGAAACCAGGAGTTGGGTGGCTCGGTGGACTGAGCCACGCAGGCGCCCCCCAACATCATTCCTTCGAAGGGCCATATAATGGTCCACAGTATGGTTCTACCAACATTTATTCACCACGTTACCTACTAACAAACACTCAGTTTACTTCCAGTTTTGTCACCGCTGTTCATGCGTTTTACTATTAGGAACATTCGAGGAACAGCCTCCTAAGTCTGCTTGGGTATTTCTATCAGATGATCACGTGGGCACTGTCGCCAAAGTGGGGGAAATCGCCCATGTATCTAAGGACCACTTGTATCTCCTGAGAGCAGATGCTTTATTATCTGCATGGCCTTCAGGAAGGGTAAATCCCAGTGAGTCTCAAAAGTTGGGGTGCCTTGGAATTACCTAGGAAGCATAAAAATACAGATACCCCGAAGGCGCCTGGGTGGTTCGGTGGGTTTAGCCTCTGTCATCAGCTCCGGTCATGATCTCAGGGTCCTGGGATCGAGCCCCATGTCAGACCCTCTGCTCAGCGGAGAGTCTGCTTCTCCCTCTGCCTCTCTCAGTGCTCTCTCTCTCTCTCTCAAATACCAGCATCTACCAGAATCCGCAGGGGTTGCGCACAGGTGAGTTTGGACATCTCCCAGGTACTGGCCTCCTGGTGTGTGCCGCAGGGGCCCTTGGGTGGTCAAGTGCAGATCTGTGGTTCTGGCTCGGCAAGAAGAGGATGGAACAACGCATGTGCTGTGTGCCCTCTGCTGGTGCTCTGTGAGCCGACAACCCACGGAAATGGAGGCTCTTTCCTGCCACAGCTGCTGAGGACGGGGCTCTCTCCTCCAGTGTGCGATGCTTCAGGGCAGTGACTGTCAACCGAGGCTACACGTGAGAATCACCTGAGAAACCCTGAACAGCAATGCCTGGTCACAGGTGTGGGCAATGGTATATTTTTTTAAGATTTCATTTATCTGACAGAGAGCAAGTGCAAGCAGGGGGAGAAGCAGGCTCCCAGCTGAGCAAGGAGCGCGATGCAGGGATCCATCTAGGACCCTTGGGATCATGACCTGAGCCAAAGGCAGACTCTTCACTGAGCTGCCCAGGTGCCCCTGGGCAACCACATTTTTGCAAAGCTCTCCAGGTGATTCTGCACATGGAGCCGGAGCTGAGAACCCCAGGAACACGAAGTCCGAAGGGATGAGTTACTCTAGCGTTTTCTGTTTTGATAGTCTATTCCTGAAATTCCCAGCCTGGCTGCATTTCAGAATCAGCGTCAAGCTTGTCAAAAAGATTCTGGGGACCCATCCCGAACACAACCAGAATGTCCAGGGGTGAGGTTCACTCAGGTAATAGCTTACAACTAGACCAACATCAGCGGTTGAGTTAATTCTTGTCTTTAATGAGATCAAAGTCAAATCATTAATACCTCTTAAGACATTTCATAGGGGTGCCTGAGTGGCTCAGTCGGTTAAGTGGCTCCCTGCCCAGTGGGGGGTCTGCTTCTCCCTCTCCCGCTCCCCTGGCTCTCAATGAATAGAGAAAAAAATCTTCAAAAATAAAGATAAAATAAAGGATTACTTTGGTGATCTCAGGGTCCTGGGATGGAGCCTACATCGGGTACCATGCTCGGTGGGGAGTCTGCTTGAGGAGTCGCTCTCCCTCTCCCCCTGCCCCTCCTCCCACCCATGGTCTATCTCTAAGTAAATAAACATTAAAAACTAAAACAAAAACCGAGGATCGCTTTGGCTGCTGTGAGAATGGACTCTAGCAGGGGAAGGATCATGGCAGCAGCAGGTTGCAACAGCCCCGAGGAGACGTGAGGATGGTGTGGATCAGAATGGCAGGGGTGGACAGGGGGAGAAGTGGTCCACTTCTGGTCAGATTTTTGAGTCTGCCTAAAACAAGAAGTCAGTGGAACAACATGGCCTTTCCCCTGAAGAAAGAGCCAGTGCTCGTGAACTGGGTGGTGGCCCCCGGGACACCCAGATGCATACCCAGGCTCTGGGTCAGGGCTCGGGCTCCTGCATGCAGAGCCCTTATGTCTGGGAAGACCACAGCTTTGCCCACACGGTGGGTGCCCAGTGTCCCCAAACACCTGAAGGACATAACCACACTCCCCAGACCAGGGTCTTCAACCTCAGGAATCAAATCCACAAGCCTACAACCATTATGTTTGCATCTTTAACTACAACTAAACACAAATTACAAAGTGCGGTTTCTTTTTGTTTCTAAAAGATCCCACACTTTGGGGTGCCTGGGTGGCTCAGTGGGTCAAGTGTCTGACTTCAGCTCAGATCATGATCCCCGGGTCCTGTGATAGAGCCCCCAACAGGTTCCTTGCTCAGTGGGGAGCCTGCTTCTCTCCCTCCCAGGCTTGTGCCTTCTATCACATAAATAAAGTCTTTAAAAATATATAAATGTAAAAGCTCCCACACTTCCTTCCACCATTCTCACTCTGATGCTCCAGGCTTTCCCTAGTGCTTAGGATCAAATCAGGGACGGCCCCAGCACGTGCACGCCGCTCTTGCTCTGGGCCCTGCCTCCTCTTCATGGCGACCCGCTCCCCCAACTGCTCCCAGTCACCCAAGTGCATATGTGCACTGGTTTACCGGCTGTCCTTCCTCTCCCAGACTCCCCCCGAGATGGACCCCAATCCCCCGCTTTGTGGTCAGTGCTGAGCAGAGCCTGGCACAAGAGATCTGGACAGAATGAAGGGCTGATCCGGAAGCTTAAAGGAACAGTCTTGGGTACAGGCTTTACCTGCGTCTGTGAAATGGAATAAATTAACTAAGAAAACCAAACTTCTTTCGTGTTAGTGACTTTTCTCAAAACGCCACCTTCAGTCTACAGAGAAGGCTCACTCTCCATGCATTTGATATGCCACATAATTTCTTAGGGAGGGAGGGAGAGCAGGGGGGTGGTGATGGGAGAAAGAGAGGGACATGGGGCCCGATCTCATGACCCTGAGATTATGACCTGAGCCGAAATCAAGTCAGGTGCTTAACAGCCTGAGCCACCCAGGCGCCCCTCATACGCCACATTCTTTTGTAAAAACGGAAATGACTTAAGTACTAAAGGCTAAAGGACCAGCTACAAGCACTCAGTGAGGTGTTTTGCAATTTCTGAATTTGTTTTCACACAGAGTATTTAAATGAAAAAATCAAATTATCTGCACCTTGTGTTTTAGGCAAGGTGAGCTACCTATTGTTTTCCCCAATTTTACTGAGCTATAACTGACATGTAACACTGTATCAACTTAGGGTACAACATAATGATTTACATATGTATACACTGCAAAACGACTACTACAATATGGTTAGTTAACATCAGACATCTCACATGTTACAAGGCTTTTATTTTCTTGTGACAGAATATTTCCAATGGTTTACCACTAAGATAGTCATGTTTTTTGGGAAGCAAAAAACCCAAACAATTCCAGGTACAAGATAACACCCGTGTTTTTTTAGAAAAGCCCGAAAGCACAGGAAGACACCACTTCACACCTGCTAGGACGCCGATTATCCAAAAGAAGGACACGGAGAAACTGGAACCCTCACGCAGTGCGGGGGGATATAAGACCACACAGTAACTGTGGGAAAGCCTGGTGGTTCCTCACAAGGGTAAACACGAGTTACCACCAATCCAGTAATCCCAGTTCTCAGCACACACCCGAAAGGCCCGGAAGCATGGCCTCAGACTTCTGTCCACCCATGACGACAGCAGCATTAGTCACAAGAGCCAAGCGCTGGAAACAATGCAAATGTCCGTCAACGGATGGAGAAACGAAATATGGTCTACACACACGTTACTCAGCCACAAAAAGGAATGAAGCTCATACGTGTTATAGTCCGGATGTGCCTCGGAAACAGGATGGCGAGCGAAAGAAGCCAGACATCACATACCACGGGGCGTCTGATTCCGTCTACACCAAAAGTCCAGGATAAGCCGATCCACACAGACAGAAAGCAGACGAGTGGTTACAAGGGCCAGGGAGAGGGGGAATGGGGAGTCATGTTTAATGGGAATGGAGTTTCTCCCTGGGATGACAAAATAAGTTCTGGAAATGGACAGAGGCGGTGGTTGCACAACGCTGTAGACGCGCTTAGTATCGCTAAACTGTTCACTAGAAATTGGTAAAAGGATAAATTTACATTCTGTACATTTTACAATAAAAACGGCTAGAAGTCCACACAACGAAACATGTAATTTACTGACTTCTGAGAGGCAGAATAAGAGAGATCACACCTTCCCTCCTCTGTACTGTTACCGACTGTGTAACAGACATGCAGCACTGACTGCAGGGAAAGGCAGTGCATATAGTCAGCTTTGGTTTATAAAATAAGGTACCAGAATACAGTTCATCTCACTTTATCACATCGCAGAGCATTCCCACGGGAGGGCCCTCAGGCGTCTGGGTGGCGAACACAATCTTGGCAGAAGTGCTGTGCTCACTGGGCCGACACCTGTCCCGGTCACTGTGCGGTCACCATCCCGGCGGGGTCAAATGACCCTCCTCTATCTAGGCTTCTTCCCAGTCCTTTCTCGGGGTAAGCCCCTGAGGGGGCCAGACACAGGGCTTGGGACCTCCCTCCCAACTGCCCTGAAGCCTTGCAGCACACCCTGACCTCTGCACTGACCTTGACATTTACTGTTTATTCTCACACCCATCCCATGTGACAAGCAGGATTTTCCCTTCCACGGATGCGACAACCAAGGTTCAGCAAGACTCGATAACCTGCTGCAGGACCGGGAGTTGAGAAGGGACAGCGCCCGAGCGTTCTCACTCCAAATCCTGGGCTCCCCCCCGCGCACCTCCCCGCCTTCCGATTTCTCAGCACGGCACCGCTTGAGTGAACCCGACATAGCTTCATCCAAGAACTGGCGGTTAACAGAAACTTCTGGCCATCATCTGGCTGAATGTCGCACGCAAATACAGTAAGAATTTGTACTAAGGACCTCTCTCCTAAACCCAGTCACTAGCTCCTGCCTCGTAATTTCCTCATCCCAAAAGACAAGAGCTGGGAGGCCCTGGCAAGGTCTCCAGCGGCCTGATCCCGCTCTGCGGCCTCACCCACACCCTCGGCCTTCCTGCTGGAGATCCGGGCGGCCCAGGGCCACCCGGAGGCCCAGCTCCCAGCTCACTTGAGGGTGTCCAGCATCCCAAACACCTGTGTGAAACGCTCTCTGTCCAGGACGCGTCCGTAGCGCAGGCTGAGGTAGAAGGTCTGCTTCCCGCCGTACTGCTGGATGCGCATGAACAGCTCCTGGGGCCGGTCCTCGCTCTCTGTCAGGGGGATCACATCGGCCACGGGCCAGTCCGTGTCCTGCCGCCGGCCCCAGAAGGTCAGGTGGGCTACGCGCAGCACAGTGCCCGCCTCGTTCACATACAGGATGCCCACCAGCCTCCGGAAGAAGTGGCTCATCCAGAAAAGCATGGCCAGGGCGAAGCCGGCTACCCCACCCGCCAGGCACAAGTTGTTGAGAGTCACGAGGCCGTGCGAATACCCGTAGAAGCCAGGCGGCAGGGCCAGCAGCGTCAGCGCCGTCTGCGTCACCTTCAGCCGGGACAGGTACTTGAAGACTCGGATAGCATCGAACCGGTAGACCATCCGGAACTGCTCCGCGTCCGTGCCTGCAGGCTTCTCCTTCGGGGTGGGGGTCCTGCTCCCCATCCACCTCCCAGGATCCTGCCCGGTGCGGCACCACAGCCCGCACACAGGCCTTCTCCAGGCAGCTGGGCCTGCCAACCGTGGCACGGCTCGGAGGATGGCGGCCTGGAAGGGAGACAGGACAGCGTTGCTCTCGAGAACTCAACCACGCTGATCACAAAATAAACAAGCGCAGAGGGGCGCCTGGGTGGCTCAGTGGGTTAAGCCTCTGCCTTCGGCTCAGGTCATGATCTCAGGGTCCTGGGATCGAGCCCCACATTAGGCTCTCTGCTCAGCGGTAAGCCTGCTTCCTCCCCCTCTCTCTGCCTGCCTCTCTGCCTACTTGTGATCTCTCTCTGCCAAATAAATAAATAAAATCTTTAAAAAAACAAACATGCGCAGAGCCCCTTACCCAGAGGCTCCCGCCAGTCCTGTGAGGTTGTGATTACTGCAGAGACACAGGGAAGGATGCCTTAAGTTCACGTGAGCTTCACACAGGTGGTGTAAGACCATGCCGTGACCCTGACCCTGAACACTGCAAGGGTTCAGGACACCAACCCCCCATGCAGTCAAAAATCCACCTGTAACTTCTGACTCCCCAAAAACTCAACGACTGATAGCCTAGTGTTGACCAGGAGCCTTACTGATAAGTCGATTAACCCATGTTTGTTGTTACACGTATTACATACTGCGTTTTTAGAATAAAGCCAGCTAGAGAAAAGAATGTGAATAAGAAAACCACGGTGGGGGCGGGGGGGGAGAAAACCACAAGAGAAAACACATTTAAAGTATTGTATTATCGGTACCATTAAGTTTACCTTGTTTCCAAGATGAACTGTCAGTAGCCACATCAACGCTGTCACGTCTTAGTGGACACAAAACACGGTAGATAGTTTCTATGTTACTGACACCAAACACAAAAAAGGAAGGCTAAAAGGGAGATCCCTATTTATTTATAAGAACAACAATTCATGGACTGGAAACAAAGTGGCAGCCTGGAGTAATCCATACTACTGTTTCCCAGGAGCCTGCTCTGTACGCTAATGAATGAACCCTTATGAAATTCTTATGGCACACAGTATTACTGTCAGGTTCAGAATACAGTATGGGAAACACTGTTCCTTTTTTAAGAAAACCACTTAGGACTGATGATAGACTGATATGCATTTTCTCCAATTACGGGGCGGGGGGTGCGGCGGAGAGGGAGGTAAGGGGCATACTGCAAGGCAATTAAATCTCTGATGGCATAAAGCAGCGTTAGCAAACAGTAAGAACACACAGTTACTTTGATATTACATAGTACTCACCTGACAGCCTCTAAGGACAGGCTACCCACTTCCAGAGGCCTCTTGCACATGTTTGACAGGGTCAATGCCCCGCCAGAGGATGATGGCACAAAGCGTCCCCTACAGTTCTTGGCACAGTTACTGATTCCACGTGAAGACACTCGCTCACACACACACAACAGGGAAGTTTAACCGTACACCACAATGACTCTTCACTATTTATTACACGGAAGCGGGTCAGCGGGAAGGCCTTCATCCTGGTCACCTTCCTGCTGAGTAGGCTGAGGACGAGGCGGCCCAGGGGCTGGTCTTGCGGTCTCCGGGGTGCCAGGGGTGGGACAGGTGGAGGTGGCGGAAGGGCAGGCGGGCGAGGCAGGCACACTCGGCCTAACTTTAGGGAAACACATCATAATTTCTGTCTGACTTTTTTGCTCTTTCATTTCTCTAAAGATATTTCTGTATGGCACCAAGCCCTCTTCCATCACCTGCTTGAGTCTCAGTGCCCGAATCACGAAGGGTCCATGTTGTAAAAGAAGTCAAAGGCCGTCTTGAATAATCGAAAACCTTCTGCCAGGTTGTCTAACGTCAACTTGTTTTCTGGCCCTGCTTCTTCTACATCTTCCTCACGTGGCACTGGTCCAGAAGCTCTCATCCCCACGGAGGCGCCTTCGGCTAACTCCTCTGGCGCGCAGTCTAGGAGCTCTTGACATGCGAACTTATCGATGGTCGGCAGAAGCTCCTTCTCCTGCCATCTTGACATTTTTTAAGCCAAACCTCTTTCTAAAATTATCAAACCATCCTTTGCTGGCATTAAATTCTCCAGCTTTAGTTCCTTCATCTTCCTTTTGCTTCAGGTTGTCATATAACAACTTTGCTTTTTCTTGGGTCTTTTAGAATCCATAGGGATGCCTTTCTCACAGCAATCCTGCACCCGCATAAAGGCTATGTTTTCAATACGAGATAAAAAAGTATCTCGCAAAAAGTGCAAGGTCTTCACCCCTGCTGGCGCAGCTGCTGCAACGGCTTCGCGGATTTCCTTTTCTTTTTTTACAATGGTCCTCACGCTGGACTCCTTCATCTTGAAATGGAGGGCAGCCGCAGCTGCCGACTTTAATCTACAGTACGTATCGAGCAATTCAACTTTTTCTTGTAACGTCATGACTTTCCTCTGCTTCTTGGGAGCACTTCCAGAACCACTAGCGGCATTTCGTGTGGGTCCCCTGGTGTTATTCAAGGTTTACGATAGGGCACCAAACACGATGAAAAATACGTGAGAACCAGGGGATCACTTTTTACTGCCATTCGCAATTTACTAGCGACGACGTGCTAACACGGAGATGATGGGCAGCACACGCCACGCGAAGCACATACTAAACCTGAGCCCACCGAAACAGCAGCAGGGGGTGGCCACGGAATGATTACAGTAGTACAGCGTGTACTGCGGTTAATTTTACGCAGTTGGGAGTTAACACTGCATCTTCATGTTTCTGGTTCTCTCAACTATGAATGAGGCCATTGTACAGTTCTCCAAGGCTCTGTACGCATTCTGATAAACTTTCTAAAACAAACTTGCGTATATTACGGTAGTAAATAAAATAAACTAGTATCTACCTGTATTTTAGGCATTCGTGACATACCGTTTTTATTTTTTCCGTCTTTCCAGGCTACGCGGTTCATTTGCCAGGTTTTTTGAATTACGGCAAACCTCCGAAAATTTTTCCATTGTATTTATTTTCAACAGTCAACACAAAAGTGGACGGACACAGTTCAAACCCTAATTGTTCAAGGGTCCCCTGTACTTTACCACTGAGGAAACTAAACACAGAGAAGGTCAGAAATTTGCCCAAAGACACACAGCCAGTGAGTGGGGCACAGTCTGACTCTCAAACTGGTCCTCTTTCCTTCAGACAGTCCAAAGAGGTACAAGAAAGGTGGCAGAGCCTTCATTCACTCAACAAATACCCAGGGACGGCCAACTCTGGGCTGGGCGCCGAACGCATAAGGCCGTGGGAACACTTTCCCCAGCAGGAACCAATGTCCTAAAGGGTAACAAATCCCTGCCATACTTCTAATAACCTCCCGATTCTCTGTCAGGTTAAAGCATCATCTTCGGTCCTGAAGGGGAAGCGCTGTTTTCTGAGCCCAGTTTGGGCGGGGAGGGAGGCGCCAACCCGCAGCCCAAGGGTTTTACCAGGTGCGCCGCTGTACACCTCGAGGAGAGCAGTGAAAGATGCTCCTGGCTTGGGGGCCTGATCTGGGCTCCGACCCCGGCTCCAACACACACTAGCTGTGGCCCCTCGGGCAAGTTCCTCCACTTCTCTGGGCCTCGGTTTCTTTGCCTTTCATAAACGGGATTCACGACAAGCCAAATGAGACAATGGCTTCAAAGACCTCGAACGCACTTGGAGCACCCGAGGATCTGACGCACGGGGACAGAGCTCAGTGAATTTCAGAGAGCGCTCCTGTCGCCCACAGGATCCGAGCGCAGCAAAGTGCGGCACAGCAAGCCTTAACCTACGCCGGAGGTTCACCGCCCCCCCACCGCCACCGCGGATTCTCCGAATCAGAACCCCAGGAATCTGCCTGCCTGCCCAAGCCTCACCACCGCCCCGAAAGCGAACCACCTCCCGCGGTTCCCGCCAACCACCCTCTTACCATGGCTTCGCTTCCTGCCACCGGAAGTGAATCCCCTCTGCCCCCGGAACCTCTGACGGCGCGCGCTCGACCGTCATAGGACGCCGTCCAGGCGCATTGCATCCTGGGATTTGTGGTTCCGAAAGAATATCCGACGCAAATCCCAGGTACCGTGGGAGGGAATGCTCCTCCCCCAGCGTGCCCTGCGGTACGGGGGCTGGTGGGAGCGGGGGGGCGAACCCGGAAGTTCTGGGCCGAGTTCCTGGTTGCCAACGAGTCCCATCCCGAGTGGATGGAAACCGGCGACATGGCGGCGTCCGGCCCAGCGCTGTGCCTCTTCGACGTGGACGGGACACTGACGGCCCCGCGACAGGTAGGCGGCGTCCGGCGGGGTGGCAGCGGCGGGCGCAGACTCTCAGGGTGCTCGGAGAGATGGGACGGGACCGAAAAGCGAAAAACTTATTGGAAAACGCAGTTCGGGATTTTCACCGCCTGCGCTGGATTTGAAGCCCAGCTCAGCCCTCTTGCCAGCTGTGAGCGCGCCTCAGTCCTGTCACCTGCGAACTGTATCTTGTGCCCTAATAGGAAAAACATAGGTGTCCAGGTCAAACAGACCTAATAGAGTCTCCGCTGTACTCTCTTGACAGCTGTCTGACCTTGAGCAAGTCACTTAACCCCAGTCTCAGCCTCCACGGACGGCTTTCAGTGGGGACCTTCCCAGTACCATATGGTGTTTGTGAAGGTCGAATGAAATCGAATAAATTCGTAAAAATCTTTTGGGTACGGTGGGCCGTGTTCCCCGGTAGTCAGTACATATTAGCCACTGCCAACCACCCCCTTTTCTCCACCCCCTTCTCCAGCGGGAGTGAGCAAGGAGACCTAGATTTTTTCAGACTGCCTGCTGCCAGCCCCCCCTTGAACTCTTGGAAGCTTGCTTCCCACTTATAGATGTTGCTGCTGCAGGCTTGATTGTAGGTTTCGGTTAAGATCAGGATTTGTGATAAAGCTGACGCTGACCTCCCCCTTGCAGGGACTGGTCCTTGAACCACAGCCATTCAAACTTGAGCCGGGACCCAACTAACCTTCCTAACTTCACTTTCTATCCCTGCCTTCTTAATTTTGGCCGGAGGGTGGCAGTGGTGTGCTCCAGACGGCCACAGTACGTGCGTGTGACATGACATCATTTTGCCTTTCTGAGCCACAGATTCGGTGCATCTAGTGATGAAACTCAATGGCGAGTTCTTCAGAGGCCCTTTGTGACCCAGATTCGGTGACCAAAACACACTTCCGGACTGTTAGAGAAGCTCCTGGCTGTCTGGAGCCAAAGTCAGCAACTCATTGTTTGTAAAGGCCCAGATAGCAAAAATTTTTGTCTCTGCCAACCACATGGTCTGTAGTAACTACTCAGCTGTAATGCAAAAGCCGCCATAGACCTTATGTAGACACAGCATGGCTGTGTTCTAATAAAGCCTTATTTTATTTATTTGTTACAAAAACAACCAGCTGCTCAGTTTGGCCCATGGGCTGTGATGGTCTAGGGTTCACATCCCATACCTTTTTGCATGATATCACTGGACCTTCTCAACCTTTTCCCCTCTTGCCTACCATGTAGGATAATTTCATTTACCCTTTTTTTTTTTTTAAAGGTTGTATTTATTTATTTGACAGACAGAGATCACAAGCAGGCAGAGAGAGAGAAGCAGGCTCCCCGCTGAGCAGAGAGCCCGATGCAGGGCTCGATCCCAGGACGCTGAGATCATGACCTGAGCTGAAGGCAGAGGCTTAACCCACTGAGCCACCCAAGGGCCTCTCTTTTGCCCTTTTAAACATAAGGAAACCGAGACTCAGTGAAACCGTGACCTCTGTTTCTCACAGCAAATCTGGTACAAGTGTCTGGGCTGCAGGGCATTGTCATTTGCTAAGTTTGCCATTTTCTGCCACCGCTCCAAGATGGAAGCTGTTCTGGCTGCTGGTTGTGCCATTCCGGAAGGTACTTCTGCCTTCCAGAAGGAATCTGGATAGATGACCATGAAGTATGAAATAGCAAAGAAACTCACACATTTGAAACACGATATTCTTTGCAGCAAACTGATAATTTTAACACTGAAAAAAAAATAGTCTAACAAAAGAAAATTGTTTCTGGGTGCCAGGTGTTCCAGGTAAAAAATAAAAATATTTTAGCAAGAGATCTATTCATTATAGAATAATATAATACCTTCCCTCCCTCAAAGCATGCATTCCCAAACAGTGATAAGCATATTATAGTCCAGAAGCAGAAAAATGGGTTATCTTGCAGCTGCTGACACACGATATGATATAAGCAGATAAAATCTAATTAGAACAGAGTCCAGAGCTCTGCACATATCACTATTTTAGTAGAATTTTCTTGTGCTGAGTAACTTTCCTAAGAAAGGTTATTCCATCTAAAAACAGTTGAGACTTAGAGCAAAAGAAGGCGGTCCTAAACCTGACTAAATTGTTTTCCGGCTCTATGTCATAAAAAATTCAAACATATAGGGGCACCTGGCTGGCTCTGTCGCTAGAGCATATGACTCGAGATCTCAGAGCTATAAATTCTAGCTGCACGTTAGGTACACGTTACTTTCAAACCTTAAAAAAATAAAATCGAAATTCAAAAGAAATTAAAACGTACAGAATTACTGCGAAACTAGTATACAGAATAGCTGTATCCCGGCCACTTAAAATCAGCCATGACTGACATTAACTTCTCTACACTTTTATTCTTTGATGTGCCACTTCCAAAGCCACAGTCATCATGGTAATTCACCCCTAAATATTTGTGCCTGGATCTCTTGAAGACATCTGTGGTGACCATAGTGCCATCATCATCATCACCAACGAAACATGTCACCAGTTCCCTCCTGTTATTTAATGCCCCAGCTCAGCAGTCAGCAGACATTTTTCTGTAAAAGGACAGATGGTAAAGAGTTGAGACACCACCAGCCATGTGGTGTCTGTCACAACTACTCGGCTGTGTGATTGCGGCCACAGACAGTACGCAAGTGAATGGATGTGGCTGCGTTGCAGTCCTACCTCGCGGAACCCGACGTGAGTTAATGCTGGCCCATGCACCCTATTCTGCTGACTCTTATTTGCCCCATCAGTTTTCCTCTATTGTCCCAAAAGAAGTCTTTTGTAGTTGGTTTTTTCAGAAGGTGAATTTTTATCCTGCTTTGATCTCAATTTCAAGCTTTTGGATCTTTCTCTGTTTTATTTTTACCCAGAATGACTTATAAAGAATTCCTTGTGATTAGCAACACAGAGTTATTTGGGAACATCACAACAACTTTGGTCTGTGATTATTTTGCTCCAGCAACCTCTCCTACCGTGGGTAGTTTAGATGCTCTGTTATGCTCACAAGGAGCTGGATCTTACTTCCTGTCAAAAAAATATTTGCTGCCCCTCAGAAGTGAGAAGGGGCCTTCTAACATACACACACACACACATACACACACACACTGCAGACAAGCCTGATGGCCACAGTACCATGGAGCTCATCAGTGTGCACTGGGGTTAAGAGAAAAGAAATTGCAGCTTTGGGTTCTGCTTGAAGACAGAAGTATTGCATTTTTAATATTTTGTAATCCAGGGAATCTTCCCCACTTCCTGCCATGCTGACATCAGGAGTCTTCCCCACTTCCTGCCATGCTGACATCACGTGGAAGCCAGCCACTTGGAGGGCTGCAGGACCCATTTTCACAGTCATTGATTCGTAGAGGCTGCCATGGCACTTCTAAATTTTGTCTGCTAAGTCAAGATTCCACGGAAGGTGTAAAAAAGTGTGTGTTCTGTTAAAAGCCCTTCTGTACAATTTTATTAATCCTGTGTGTATATTTCTCTAAAATGTTGTTGTTGTTTTATTTTTTTAAGACGAAAGAGAAGATTTGGGTGCCTGGGTGTCTCAGTGGGTTAAACCCTCTGCCTTCAGCTCAGGTCATGATCTCAGGGTCCTGGGATCGAGCCCCGCATCGGGCTCTCTGCTCAGCAGGGAGCCTGCTTCCCCCCTCTCTCTGCCTGCTTGTGATCACTCTTTCTGTCAAATAAATAAAATATTTTTTAAAAAGAAAGAAAAGAAAAGGAGAAAATTGAACTCTAGATGTTTATGTATTGAAGTTGGTTTTTTGTTTTTGTTTTTAATTTCTGCTAACTTCATTTCTAAAGATACCCAGTGTGAGGGCCTCCAGGCTGGCTCAGTCAGTGGAACATGCCACTCTTGATCCCGGGGTCATGAGTTCAAATCCCACATTGGGAGTAGAGTTTACTTAAAAAATAATAATAAGTTAGGGGTCCCTGGGCCGCTTAGTTGGTTAAGTGTCCTACTCTTGATTTCAGTCAGGCCATGATCTCAGGGTTTTGAGATCAAGTCCCGCATCAGACTCCACACTGGGCATGGAACCTGCTTAAGATTCTCTCTCTCAAAAATAAAAATAGGGGCTCCTGGGTGGCTCAGTGGGTTAAGCCGCTGCCTTCGGCTCGGGTCATGATCTCAGGATCCTGGGATCGAGCCCCACATCGGGCTCTCTGCTCAGCAGGGAGCCTGCTTCCTCCTCTCTCTCTGTCTGCCTCTCTGCCTGCTTGTGATCTCTCTCTGTCAGATAAATAAATAAAATCTTAAAAAAAAAAAATAAAAATTAAAAAAATAAAAATAAAAATAAAAAATAAAAAAATAGATACCCCATGTGAATATACAATTCAGATTACTAAAAGTAACAAAATAACTTTTAAAAAATGAATTGTGATTTGTCTTAATGCAGGAATTTTTTTTCATGTTCATAACTTCTATTTAATTAGTCTGCAATTCGGACTTCAATTAGCAAAAAGTTACACCATTGAGACCACTGTTGATACATAAGAGCTTTTCTTTTAGGAGAGACTAAAAAAATCGTGTGCTCTTGCTGTTGTACTTATTATTTTTGGTTTTGTATTATTATAACAAATCAATTCTGAATGTCCTCTGTAATCTTATCATGTTTTGTTCTAAAATAGCAACTTAAACCCGTAAGTGGAGTACAGTGTAGCATTCAAAAGGAATGTTCTAGATCTTTGTGTATCGGCATGGAACAGTCATCCCAACTCACTGCTAAAAACACAAGTCACTGCACAAGACCTAGAATGAGTCTACTTGTGTGTCAGAAAATAAGACCTCTCTATTTGTGCACATGTAGGCAAGTATGTAAATGCAGAGCAGAAGAGCTACAACAGCACACAGCAGCTGTTAATATATCGCTTGTGTGTTTTAAGCTAGGTAAGAATAAGTGAAATTTAACACATTTTTTTCTGGTAAAAAGTTGATTTCCCCAAATCACAACTAAAACATTTGGACTCACTACAGACCTAGAGCCTGAACTGGCATATATGGAAGTCAGGGTTGTATCACTCTTTGAGTTTCAGTCTCCTGGTTACCCTACAGCTCACGACTTTTTATTTTCCTTTTTGAAATGTAGAAAATTACCAAAGAAATGGATGGCTTTCTACAAAACTTGAGGCAGAAGATCAAAATTGGTGTGGTAGGCGGGTCAGACTTTGAGAAAGTGCAGGAGCAGCTGGGAAAGGATGGTAAGTTCCGTTTGGTTAATGGCAGCTTCCTATGAGGACATTGGGACCTGTGGCCTTGAAGTGTTTTAGGCAGCCTCGAGCCCTCCCCCCCGTGTGGCAGGCTTCCTGCTACCTTGTTTGGACAAACATTCTCTCTGCTTTCTCTTTCCTCTGTTCTTAATGTTATAAGTAAATTTCTGGAATTGGTGGTGGACCACTCGGTTCCCAGATACATGGGTGGGGTCACCCAGAAGTTTGAGTGTGTGTGTCACTGCCTGGAATGCTTTGCCTTGTCCCCGTCCACTCTCTGAGCTCAGTTCAGTCCCCATCTCCTGACTGTCCTTCTCACCCAGGTGTTCAGATGCCTTCCAGGTCTGGGGGCCTCCTCTCCGTTGCTCTAACACAGTGTTTCCCAGAGTTCCCTAATCACGGGACACCCAGGCTCTTAACCCTACCTGGTGAACCAGAACTTCCAACGCAGGCCCCAGGAAGCCAGGGTTCTTGTTGGCCCCTTCACTGGAGATCCTGAGGTCTCTGGGGCCTGGGAATCATATTTTAGCAGCTTCTCCCCCAACCCCCGCCCCAGGAGATTGTGATGCACAGCCTTGCCAGCAGGACACTCTCTGCACGTTGCAAACTATCTAGTTGTCCGTCTGTTTTTTCTGGAAGACTCTGACTCTGCATTACTCATCTTGGAGCCCCAGGGCCTCTAGGGCGCCTGACCTCTAAGAACTAGGTGGTGGAGAGATGGTGGAGATGATCGTTCTTTGGGACACTGTTGACATTTTGGGCCCGATCATCCTCCATTGTGGGGGGGCTGTCCTGTGCACACTGTAGGATGTTGAGCAGCACCCCTGTGGCCTCCACCCACGGGATGCCAGGAGCACCTCCGTGCCCAGTGGGGCAGCCAAAAATGTCTCCCGACATTGCCAGATACCCTGTGGGGGGCTACGTCACCCCCAGTGGAGAACCAGTGTTTGGGACTGTAGTATCCTACAGTCCTAATCGGTGTAGGCTGTCTTTATTGGATTAGCGTATTGGCCAAGCATAATCTCTGCGTTCTCTCTAAAGCTCCCTGTTCTGCTTACTCTTCCATTTTTCTCGTAGATGCTCTACTTAGAGACACTGAAACAACATAATGGGGCACATTAAGCCCCGGAAATCCTGTTACCCGGCCCTGATGGCCCTCTGTGCCTCTGGCCATATTTTTAACCACAGGCTCAGAGAGGCTTTATGTCAGGGTAGGGCACTGTCTGTAGATTTCAAAGAGTGTGAGTCCAGACAACAACCTCGGAACCTTCACAAGCTAGAAGAAAGTTGAAGACCTAGCTGTATCAGAATCACCTGGGAAACCTGTGAAAATACACATGTGAGGGCTCCACCCAACACAGGGCACCTGGGAGTCTGCATTTTAACAAGCAACTAAAGTTTGGGGACCCATTTAGAATTATATGAGTGGTCTCCAAATCTGGCTGCTGTAATATAAGAATCACCTAAAGACCTTTTAAAAAAAAAAAATTTTTTTTTTTTTCAAATTCTGATCTTTAGCCTGGTCCTGCATGTTCTGATTCAGAAGGCCTGAGAGCAGAGCCTGGGAATCTGCACATTTTCATCACTGCCCTGGTGATGCGGGTCCACAGGGAGGCTTGGGGGCCGTCCTTGGCTCACATCTTCCTCTCCAGGTAGAGGGGGCTGAAGGCAGAGATCTGAGAGGACCCGCCACCAGGTCTCCGAACACCAGCCTGGCCACCATCTTGTACATTTGTAATTAGAGTCTTTTTTTTTTTAAGGCGTTTTTTCCCCACCTTCGGAACGTGTTAAGGCGAGATACCCTTTTACGGTCCTTACTGGAGTTTCCCTGTTTTATCGGTGAGACATGTTAATCAGGAAAGAGAAACCAGCTTCAGTTCCTTTCACGCTGACTTTTCTCTTGTTTTGGTTCCAGTGGTTGAAAAATACGATTATGTGTTTCCCGAAAACGGCCTGGTTGCATACAAAGATGGGAAACTCTTGTGTAAACAGGTAGGTTCTAGAGTATCCAGACGACTATATACTATTATTAAAATGCTTTCCAAAAAGCTGTTTGACACTGGATGCTTCTGGGGAGGTGTGTCTGGGAGTTGAGGAGCCGGGGAAGGAGTGAACCTCTACCCTGTATTCTTTTCTAGTCTTGAGTGTCGAGCCCTGTGACTATCACATATTCCAAATGGTTAACTAAATTTCAGCATTGTTTTTTTAAGGATACTTAATCTGATATTTCTGTCATGCTAGCAGAAACGAGGGCAGGCTGCCTCGCTACAAGCATTTTTAAGAGGTACTGTGTAGCTGTTGCTAGTAACAAGATCATTCCACTCAGACATATGAGAAAGCCTGAGTGGAACAAAGATACTTTGTCAGTGTCTGTAGATATTTTAACTGAATAAAAGCAGCAGTGATAAACTAACTCTTTGGGCCTTCCCTGAAGCATTCGAAAGATAATTTGTACAAAAATCTTGAGTCATGAAGCAGGAAATGCTTTAACTAATGCCCTTCGTGGTTTGCCTTATGTTTTCACGCAGGGAGAGAAGGAAAAATGTAGCGGGGCGTGTCACACTGGCCACGTCAGCTTAGTCACCCTCGCCAGTAGTGGCTAAAGCCCCGGGTTTGCTATAAAGTTATTTCAAAAATACCTCCCCCGATTCAAGTAACCCCAGTGTTTTCTTTATCTAGAGTATTCAAGGTCACCTGGGCGAGGCCCTAATCCAAGATCTAATCAACTACTGTCTGAGCTACATCGCAAGAATTAAACTCCCGAAGAAAAGGTGGGTTTGGGGGGGGGCACCTGGGTGGCTCAGTGGGTTAAGCCTCTGCCTTCGGCTCAGGTCGTGATCTCAGGGTCCTGGGATCCAGCCCCACATCGGACTCTCTGCTCAGCGGAGAGCCTGCTCCCCGCCCCTGCCCCCTGCCTGCCTCTCTGCCTACTTGTGATCTCTGTGAAATAAATAAACAAATAAATATTAAAAAAAAAAAAAAAAAGAAAGAAAACGTGGATTTGCTTTCAGCAGAGGCTGTGCTGGCATGGGGAGGAGTTGCACTGACTGGGTTGGTGCTGACTTTAGTCCCAGGCCCTGTGCTTAGTTAGTTAAGACATTATTGGAAACCTTCTAGTGGAAGAGTGAATCCATAAACGACAGCATTTCCACATGATAGGAAGCAGAAACTAAGATGCTTGCCAAGACTGTGGGTCCACGGGGAGGCCTGTAAGAGCAGTGTGAAAAGCAGCATCAGCCCCCGATCCGGGAGCCACCTGGGAGCCACCCCGGAAACCCAGGCCAGAGCCCACACACAGCCCTGCTCGCTCAGCCCACGGTATATCATAATATTTGCATTAATTGCTGTCATTTGGAAGTTTGACTTCATGTAGTAAAATACCATCACCTCTGGCTTTGGTGTTCTCTGAAGATCTGTAATTTCAAGTTAGCATGAGATCCCCACCGTGAATTCAGGCAGCAGGAGGCTGCGTTGGCCTTGAAGCAGGCCCTCAGCTCAACACTGGGCCTATGTCCCTGGTATTTACAGGTGGCTGATGGCTCAAGATCAGGGCTGTGTGCGGAAGACAGAAAGGACCCAGGGAAGAGGTTCTAGAACCTCACAGGCATCAGCATTTAGTACTAGAAGATACTTCTGAGCACATAGTCACAGAACCCTTAAATTGCATTGTAAGGAAGTATAGTTCACAGTTATTTGAGCTTTTAAGAAACAGTTTTGAGATTCAAACTGGAAACACAGTGGGGGAAAATGGTTTTTTAGGTTTTTTTTTTTTAATCTTTATTCAGAGTAACTAAAAAAAGTGTTAAGCTGTTCTCACGTTCTGTGATCAGAGCAACCATTTAGTAGCAGCTAGCCACAGCAGCTGTGTTTCGTCGGAATGACGGAGGCTCACCAAGCAGCCCTCAGAGCCTTTTCCCATAGCTTTTTGTGGTCAGACCGGTGGGTTCAAGAGGTCACTAGCAAAAATGTCAGGTGCATGAATTTTCAGATTCCTCAGGGAACTTGAGAGATGGTAATCATTTTCATAGCTCTTTTTTTTTATTATTATTATTATTTTAATTTGACAGAGAGCGTAAGTAGGCAGGCAGGCAAAGGGAGGAGAAGCAGACTCCCCAGTGAACAGGGAACCCAACGTAGAGCTCCATCCCAGGACCCTGGGATCATGACTTAAGCCAAAGGCAGATGCCCAACCAACTGAGCCACCCAGGCCCCCCTCATAGCTCTTTATTGACGATAAAATTCACTGTCCAACAGAAATAATGTGGGCCACATGGGCAATTTTAAGTTTTCTGTAGCTGCATTTAAAAAAAAAAAAACCCAAAATTAATTTTAATCATATTTTATTTAATTCAGTGTAGCCAAAATATAGTCATTTTAACACATAGTCAACATAGAGCATTTCAAATGAGGGTGACATTCCTTTTTCATGCTCTATCTTTGAAATCTAATCTCAGTTCAGATTAGCCGCCTGTGGCCCGAGGCTACCCCGTGTCTGAGCCCAGCCCGGTGAAGTGTTGATCATACCAGCCCCTGCCTTCTGGAAATTTGAGCCTGCTTACCCATCTGTAAAGTCGTCCACACAAATAACATCTCTCCGGGGCTCGTCCCCTTTCCTCTCCAGGGGTACTTTCATTGAGTTCCGAAACGGGATGTTGAACGTGTCCCCAATTGGGAGAAGCTGCAGTCAAGAAGAACGCATTGAGTTTCACGAACTTGATAAAGTGAGTCCCTCCGACACAGCCTGGGTCTCTGGAGTGGAGATAAGATGTGCAGCCTGGTGGCCGGCTGAAGGGTGCCTTCTGGACTGACATGCACTAGACAATCGGTATCTCCTTGTTTTTCTCAGAAAGAAAACATCAGACAGAAGTTCGTATCAGACCTGCAGAAAGAGTTTGCAGGCAAAGGCGTCACGTTCTCCATAGGTACGGTGCACTCGGGCCGGCTTCCGGCTTCGGTAACCACCTGCTAAGGGGGGGGTTGTGGGGTCCAGTGAGCTCTTGGAATGGGGCTGTGCCTGGTGTGAAGGTGGGCAAGAGGGGAGCAGGGGCGAGCACTCCTGTGTGGTCAGCCCTCATGGAGACTCTCCCTGGCCGCCGGGTGGGTTCCGCACCCCCCCCCCACCACCACCGCCCTGCCCCGGCACCTCTCTTCCTGGCCCAGAGTAGCGCTCAGCCGAACAGATTTGAAATCTCATCATGCATGAGCAGCAGGGATCTGTAGCAGCCAGTTGGGTTGGTGTTACAAATCAAGAAACTGAGGCCCTGGAGGAAAAGGGGTCTTGTCTGAGCCCGCAGAGGTTGTGTCTGCGGTGGCAGACCAGCATGTGAGCGTTTCTGTGTCCAACAGAGTTCTTCCCGCAGCACTGGTGTGTTGGCCGGCCTTGGTTTTCCGTAGAATACACTTGTGAGATGCTTGAAGCAAACGCACTTCCGTCAGCGCTGATGGGTCATTACATGGAGCTTCTTGTTTTACCACCTCCCCTGAGCGTACAGTTGTAGGAAAACTCGAATTGCAAAGAGATTACGTCTGCTAGAGCAGGTAGATGTTCAAGTGTTCTTGAACCGCGATGTGAATGTCTCCCCGACAAAGCTTTCCAAGGGCTTATTGCGCCTGAAAGCTTCCCGCAAATCACTTTGCACCTGCTTTTCCTTTCTCCTGCGAGATATACCGCACGCAGCCCGCTCTGGGCCTCACGCCCAAGAGCCAGAGCGTATTAAAGCTCGGGGCGGCCCAGCTGGTTGAAGCTGTTACCGGATTTCCCACCAGCCTGCTTCCTTTAGACCCGTGCCTTTGGCGTGGCACTTGAAAACAAACGCATTCCTCGTTCTGAGCTGGCGATCTTTGCTTTTCAATTTTGGGTGAAATAATGTTGGAAAAAAGCAACGTCCCATTAATTTCTAGAACCGGTCCCTAAAATAGCGTAAATAGCAAATCAGGGTATTAAAACCGACCTCAGCCCTCCAGTTGCTGATGAGTAGACCACGCTTTGGGTTCAGCCACATGCCCTTCACCTCTTTCCCGCCTTTAGCTTCTGTGTCTTCCCCCCTCTTGGCAGGAGGCCAGATCAGCATCGACGTCTTTCCTGATGGCTGGGACAAGCGGTACTGCCTGAGACATGTGGAAAATGACGGCTATAAGACCATCTATTTCTTCGGGGACAAAACCATGCCCGTAAGTACGGGAGCGTATTTTGGAATTGGACTGTTTGGTTCGGGCTGGAAAAGGGGACGTGGACACGTGGGCCTTTTCTGCTCCGCCATGCAGTACGCACTGGTCCAGCTCACACGGAGCAGGGGCTGCTTTCCCCTGAGAGGGGCGAGTCAGCCCCCGTCCCTTTGCGCTCAGACACCTCAGTGGGGTCGGTCACGGAGCCCTTTCGAGGCTCACTTTGCGGCCTTCCAGAACATCTGCCCCAGTGCCACTGTCCGGTCCTTTGTCCACTTCCAGGCCCTTGGCCATTTTTAGGTCATTTTTCCACTGTGGTTTTCCCCCAGGGACATTCATTATGAGTTGGGCACAAGGCATCCTAAATGGTAGGAAGACGGGGAATCGAGTCTCAAACTCAAGAGACCGCATCGGGGGCTGTGTTAGCGGTGCGCATCGGGGTTGAGGAGCTGTCCCTGATGGACAGGTGCTGGACAGAGTCTAAATCGGGGCTGAGAGCAGAGCCGTGTCAAAGGCCAGCACCAGGAGGACGACTGCGGAGGTGGGATTTCCCCAGAGCCACTGTGGCAGCAGGACGGGGCTCTTCTTGGGACAGGTGGGGCCCTGAGGGGAGGCTTGGCACCAGCCACTCACTGCCCAGGCCCCTTCCTTTAAATTCCTATCGCCCTCTGGGCCCCTCCGCCCACTTCCCTTCACATGCCGCCCGGTGGTGGGAATTATCTTGGCATCAGAGGTCCTGGTTCGGGCTTCGTGGCCATCCGGCACCCAGCAGGTATGCTCAGGACATTCAGAGTTTGCTTGCTGTCTGGTCTGTGATCCACTGCAGAGTACTTGCCATTCTGCTAAGGTTTTTCTGGGGTGGACCTACCAGCCTTTCGGCAAGGTCCCCACATAAGGTCTTCTAGCATTAAAGAGACTTCTGATCAATATAGGCTCGTGTCCATCCTTCTAAAGGATAAAACCAGGACTCGGGGCGCCTGGGTGGCTCAGTCGTTAAATATCCGACTCGATTTCAGCTCAGGGTGTGATCTCGGGGTCCTGGGATCCAGCCTTGAGGCGGACTCCCCATTTAGTAGGCAGTCTACTTGTCTCCCTCCCTCTGTACTCCCCCATGTTGGCATTCTTTCTCTCTCTCTTTCTCTCTCTCAAATTAATAAATCTTAAAAAAAAAAAAAAAAAAAAAAACGGAAAGGGTAAGTGACTTGCCCAGGGTCACAGCCCGTGACAGAACTGGTGGCTCCAGAACAAACTACCTTGTCTCTAAGCGCGCAGGCTTTCCGGTCCAGCAGGCCATCCCTCCGTCGCCGTGGGGAACATTCTCTTCTAGTTCCCGGACCGCATGGTGCTGCTTTTCTGGAGGCTTATCCTTTAGCCACAGAGAGAAGTGGTTTGCAACCGCGTCCATTTGGTGAAATTCTTTGGCTGCAGAAATGCTTTTGCGTCGGACTTTGATGTCTTTGGAGAAAGCGAGCTCACGCAGTCACACGCGGGATCTTCGGGATGGCCGGGCGCCTCCGCAGCCCTTCCGGCCCCCTGCCCGCTCCGCCAGGCCCGGAAGAGAGCTGCTGAGACAGGCGAAGCCAGGTTTTTCTCTGTGATGACACTCTAGCTGTGTGCAAAGAGCCCCCAGAAGCCTCACTGGGGACTTTGCAGAATGGAATGTGGTTCTTGAGATTAGCAGAGAATGCCTGCTTTTGGGAATTCTCCATCTGGAAACTCGAGCACATCGATTCTGTTTGTTTGGTTTTTGGTTTCACCTACTTTTTAAAGGCAGGTACTTCTTATGGAAGGTTTTTTTTCTGATTCATAATTAACATTCACTGTAGAGCATGGGAGAAAGTTCAAGGGAGAAAGTGTAAGTCACATGTGGTCACAGCTGATGCGCCTCCCAGTCTTTTCTCTGTGGGCGTCCGTGACCCCCAAAGTGGACCCTGCGTGTTCACTATTGGATTTTCTGCTTTGTTCTCGTATCCATTTTATTTACCCATGTTAGTGAATCTCTTTGAAAACGAGGTTTTCAGGGGCTGGATGACCCGTTTTCCCAGCAGAGGCCCTGGGACTGTGGTTTTTGACACCGTGGTGGCCGATCTCTGCCCTCTCTGACGCTGCTGTCGGTCGGTGGTTTCCTGGAAATGGGAAGTAACGGTCCAACCATCTAAACCTTGAGCAGGCATAGAGCCATCCAGACACTAGCTTTAAACTTGTCATATTCTGCGATAGACTCTGAAAGCTGTTTTCTTCCTTCGCGTCAAGGCGGATGTTTTCGCTGGTTTCCAGGGAAACAGCACTTGGGCTGAGAACTGCCAGTAAAAAGCCATTTCCCAGGGGCGCCTGGGTGGCTTATTCGGTTAAGTATCTGACTCTTGATATCAGCTTGGGTCTTGATCTCAGGGTCATGAGTTCGAGCCCCATGTTGGGCTGCATAGTGGACGTGGAGCCCACTTAATTAAAAAAAAAAAAAGCTATTTCCCTGCCAAGCGCCACAGGCTTAGAGGCCTGCCTGGCAGCCTCTCTAGCCCTAGCAGCCGCCTCCGTCTGGCGGGATCTGATGTTACATGGAGCCCCTCCCCCATTCCCTGCTTGGAACACCCTCAGAGAGCAGAGTGAAGAAACTAGACATTGGCCGTTGCTTTTCTAAACGCTTGGCAGTCCTGGACTGACTGTCAGTCCCTACCCGCCTCCCCATCCTGCCCATCAGCCACAACAACCAGGGTCTGTTAAAACCCAGCTCTGAGTATAGCCTCAAGGCTCCAGGCCCAACCTGGAGTGCCTTGGCTTGGTGCAGGGAAAGGGATGGCCAGGGCACAGAGAGGCACCCCACACTGCTTTGCATGGCTTCTGGGCAGGGAGGGAGGTGGCGGGGAGACTGCCGCACCCGACTCCGCCCCACCCCCAGCCTTTCCATCTTCCCAGGCTAGACAGCTCCTGCCGGCTTAACGCTTCCTGGCTTTCAGGCCGTTGGAACATGAAAACATTCTAACAGTCATGAACATCGACAGCTGATTGACTTTGACTCAGCAGATGCTTTTGGGTGATTGAGCTCTCTGGCCGCTTCTGTGCTCGGGACGGGCACACGCGGAGTGGCAGGACTGGGGGGGCACCGTTGCAGGAGGTGACTGACCACGCACAAGGCAGTTTGTGCCCACGGCAGAATGCTCCGTGGCTGTACAAACCGCTGATGCAGACCGATCTCTGGGCTGTTCTATCAGGCGAGCCACGTAAGGTGCAGAGCAATACAAGTAACACGCGCCACTTTTGTCTAAAGGGGGGCGTAATCTCTCTTCACGTGCTCATAAGTGCATAAAGGGAATGTGAAGGGACACCCAAGAAGGCAGATGACAGACCTCCTGAGAGCTAGGGACAAGGATGGGAGAGACACTTGGCACTCCGTCCTTTCTTTAAATTTTGAACTCCACAAATGTACTCTCTGTTGAAAAATAAAGCTTTAAAGTATCAAACTGAGAAAAGGAAGAAAACAAATGTTTGGTTTCTAAAGCACTTCAGTGTCCAACCCTGAGCTGGACCCTTGGACATTGTGTCCTCAGGTCCTTGGGCAGCCTGGCGGGACGTGCGGGATGGGCGGCAACGGGCTCCACGCAGGGCCGGCTGTGGTGCAGGTCCGTGACCGGGCGGCATCCGGAAGCCTCTCGTCACTCCCCCACATCGCCTCCAAAATGCTATCAAATCATGCAGTTGGTTTTCCACAAACGTTAAAAAGGAAAATCTGTCTTTAAAATAAGCTTCAAGGAAGTCCCTATCGGCCTGGTGGGAAGAGGCAGCTTTGAAACCCAGAAGACCTACAGTCTGGCCGCCGCTGCCCGCGGGGTGACCACACACATCTCTGTGTCGTGAGCCGTGGTACCCGTCAGCCCCATGGGGATGCAGTTCTTCTGAAGCGGTGGGAGGAAAGGGAGGTCCTAGAGGGAGGGTGGCTAGCCCAGGGCCGGCTCAGGAAAGGCAGCAGGACTTGCTTCTCCCAGTAGGGAACCAGCCGGCTATGAAGTCTGCAGCTTTTAGTGAAGTTAAGAAAAGCTCATCCAGTATGAGATTCCTCTGAGAGACTGGGGCCTGTAGGGTGGGCGGTGCATGGTAACCGGCGAACTTTGAGTTCCTGCGCAGGCTGTGGACGGAGTTGGCCATTGGCCCTGCCCTGGGCGGCCTGGCCATGCCTGGCATCTCCTGCGCTCACTCTCAGGATGCCTGAGGGCTGATGAGAGCACCGAATGTGTCCTCTGTGCCGACCTGTCCTACTATTCGTGCGTGTCAGTGTGAAATCTGAGACCCAAGTCTTGGGGGCTAGTGGCAGGTTTAGGTTAGCATGGAGAGCGGGGTGTTCCTTGCTCCCAGAGGGGCCTCAGGAAAATTGCTGCTCCCTGAGATCTGACTGAGGAAGTTGGACTGGGTTAGCGGTTCCCCACCCCGCTGAGGGGCTGCTGCCAGTTCCGCTGTGGGAGGACGGGAAGCGGGACACTGGACCGGCGGGGACACCGTGAGTGCGGGTGTTTGTTGGGGTCCCTGCTGACCCGCCTTCCTTCTGGACACCAGAATCTGTGGTCGTGTCACTCCTGCGATCAGGGTGGGGGGAAGGGGACTGGCTGGGTAAACCCTGAAGAAGCAGCAGCCATTGCTGTAGCTCTTCTCTTCACGGGGACACTGACTCCAGACCCCTAGAGTGTGGCCAGCCCGCAGGGAGTCCCTTGGTACAGTCACTGATGGCTACGCATCAGCGTCTCCTGGAGGCACGTCCATGCCCGGTCCCATCACCCGGTGCTCAGCCCCGTTTGGGGGACGAGGGGGTACGCCAGACTCATGAGCAGACCCGGAGGGTCACCCCGGGAGCGTCAGCAGGACAGCAAGCCGGCTTGCTTTCCACCGCACGGTTAGTCCCCAGACTGTAAGCCACTGGGTCCTGTCCTGGAAGTACTCGGGGTCACCTGATTGTTTTCAAAACATCACGACCCTGGGGCCAGACTGGGTTTTTTTGTTTGTTTGGTTTTTTAAGTGTAACAGTTGACTTCTTTCTAGGAAAAATCAGTATAGTTATCTAAGGGCATACATTTTTATCAAATATTTTCCTCACCAGCTAACGATCACGTTGAGAAAGCAGAAAGCAGCCGCATGCCAACCGCACAGCACGTACTCAGGTCCGTTTGGCTTTTCACGCGGCGGCCTGCAGGCCAGGGGTACTGGCCCTAGAAGTGTTGGTACAGCTCCCGTGGTGACTGTCACCATAGCCCAGGGAGCACCACCCCCCCGGGGGGCTTTGAAACAGAGCCCGTGTCCCTTTGGCCTTTGTACCCCGATACCTAGAAATTTGTTCGGTCCTGTTACACTGCCCGGCGATGAACAGCCACATGCGGCGGAAGTGGACTTGCCGGACTGGACCTGAGCCCCAGATGGGTGTTCCTAGCAGAGACCCCCTCGGAGTCCAGCGGCCCGGCCCTGCTTGCTGCCCAGCAGGGCCCACAGGCCAGGGACACGTGATTTGTGTTCCCTTCCTCAGCTCTCCGTCAGGATCCTTGGGGTTCGCCGGACACCCCCCCCCATCGGCTCAGCAACAGCGTGTGCAGAAACACAGCCGGGTAGCGGGGAGACCGGACCCCACTCAGCCCTGCCGTCTGCTTTTCTGTGGCACCCTCAGCCCTTCACCTCAAATATTTAAATATTAATGGGCCGTTTGCACTGAGCTGGAGGCCTCTCCTCCATCTGGCATCCGTCCCCGGCCCCCGATGCGGTCTTCCCGCTTGGTTCCCTTTGTCATCTCTCAGAAAAGCGTCTTCCCCACCCGGACCCTAGTGACCTGTGCAAATCTGGTGTTTGGAATTTGCAGTTCTCTGAAGCCTGATTCTAGAGGAGGGCGCTCACAGTAGCTCGCCTTGTGCTTCTGCTTCTCCCGACCTCCCTCTGACTCCAGTGTGCCGGCTCTGGGAGCCCCAGGGAGCTCCAGAAGAGCCCAGGTGCCCTGGCAGGAGGGGAGGTTAAAGTCTGCGGTGCGTGGTGCTGGTGGTGCCGAGACCGAGCCCGGAGAGCCGCCCCGTGTGGACCAGGTCTCCGAGGAGGGACAGGCGGGGCAGCTGCTTTGGAGTCGTTCCCTGGGGCCGGGCGTCTGCAACCCGCCCCCAACCCTGGCTGGCTGCGCAGCCTCCTTGTTGCTGTGCTTCTGCTCCTTGTCCTCATCCCCCACCTGTCCGTCCTGCAGAAGGTGAAGCTGATCGTGTCCCCTGGTTGCAGCTTTGCGGGTGGCTTGACATAAAATCCCAAGTCCTTACCTACCTGGCCCGGTGGGCCGCTGAGCTGACTTCGGGATGTGGCTTGTCCCCTCCCTTCCTCTGCTCACTGGTGCCTCCCTTGTCACTCTAGGTTCTCTTCCCCTCCGTTCTCTGCCCTATGGAGTTTCTCCCCTCCGTCTCCTGTCCTCTCCCTGCCTCCGCTCTGAAGGTTCGCTTTGCCTGGCGGGTAGTAGGTGCTCCCTGGGCTGGTTGGGCTCATGTGTCAATCCAGATTCCTCCCTCCCGAGTGAAGGAGTGACAGGGACTGAATGTGTCCCCGAGAGATGGTTGGTTTTTCTGGATAGTTCACAAATCTGTTTCTACGACGTTAAGTTCTCTGTGGCGGTTTTTTCCCTCCCGTGCTATTCGTAGGAGGAATCCGACTTTAATTCTAAGCATTACATGAACTGGTTTCACATTTACTTGCTTAGGTGGCCCCTGGTGGGCGTGACGCCTAGAGCTGACCCAGAGCCACTTGACGGCACAGAAATCTGTGAGGCAAGGGCAGGACCCCAGCAGCTCCCCCAGTCAGCGCTGGGAAGGGACTTTCCCGGACTTGGCTCCAAGTTCGTGGCCCCCAACCTGACTCCTCCCCCTGGTGCATTTTGGGCCCCAGCAGCAGCCCCTCCTAAACTTTGGGGCGAGGTAACTCTCACAAAAGTGAGAGCGGTAGGAATTACCGTGTCCGTGAGTCCTTTAAAGCCATGTCAGATGTTTCTTATAGAATCTTTAGGAGAAAAATCCATTTTTACTCTGCAGTTATTTTCATCGCATTATAAACTAATTGATGTTTTGAGTTAGACCGTCCAGGCTTAGGAGGAGAATCTCGGAAATTGCATGAGAAGCAAAGCAGGGGCTTTCCTGGAGCTCGGGGTGTGGGAACGGCGGCAAGCCTGCTCTATTCACCCCAGACCGGGCGCGGGATGGGGCTGCCGTACACCCTGGAGGACCCACCCCCACGGGGCCCCCGTGGCGGGCCAGGGCCCCCCCGGATACAAGGTCTGGCAGAAGCGGTCTTGCGCTCCACTCTTGGAAGTGGCCCAGGGGAAGGGATGTGTGCATACGCCTGGAGCCGCACGAGCTGAGGGGCAGGGGCCGACCCGCGGCCAGGGGGCGGCGTTACCCCCCTTCCAGCAGCTGGCTCACCCGTCGGCCACGGTCCAGGCAGGGTCTACACCCGGGCCGCCTGGGTCACTCGCAAGCCAAACACAGGAACTATTTAAATGTAAACAAATTAGAATCAAATAAACTCCGTTCCTCTGTTGCCCTGGCCACGTGCCACCAAGTACTTGGTAGTCACCAGTGGCTGCTGTTGGCTCGGAGGCCCGCGTGTCCGTGTCCCAGCCAGACGCCACGGTGGGCTGTCAGCCCTGCTGCGCTGCCTGTGACAACAGCCTGGGGCACGGTTCAAACACAGTGGCAGGGACTGCTGTCACCTGCCGCGCTTGCTTTATAGAAAAAGGAGCCTCAGATCTTCACAAGAGCATCGTGATTGCTTTCAGAGGCATAATTACACGTTCCCAGCTAAACTGCAGTTCAAGGGAAAGTGAGAAAGCCCTTCTCGGTAATGCCTGGGCTCGGGTTGCTCTTCTCCCGGAGGCCCAGGTAACCAACCCGGCCTGCCTGCTGGTAAAAGGGCGAGTTCCTCAGTTTCATGCCTCCCGCGCCCAGGAGAAGCGAGGCGCCCACATCTCCCCCGTGTCTTCACAGGGCGGGAATGACCACGAGATCTTCACCGACCCGAGGACCGTGGGCCACACGGTGACGACCCCCGAGGACACCCGCAGGATCTGTGAAGAGCTGTTCCCCTAACAGCCCCTTCCCTGAGGGAGGGCAGGGCATCCCGCTGACAGGCTGGAAGGGTCACCGTGGCCACACTCGGGATCCCTCCCTCCCTCACATGCCCGCGAACCCCAGCCGGTGCCAGGTTCCCCACACGTCCTGGGGCCTTGACGACGTGGCCTCCACCCCCAGTACCAGGAGCAGCCAGACTTGTCAAGAATGGCCGGAAGGAATGCCTCCAACCCAATTTTATTCCCCACCCCCGAGTCTCAGACCCTCCACATGTGCAATCACGGTACACACGGTTTTGGGGGAATCTTCCCCATCATTCTAGAATGATACAGAATGAATGTATCCAGATCCTCCCTCCTCATGGGTCTTGTGAACAATGTAACTGGCAATGTTTGGACCCCCTGTGTCAGTACGCACGGGGGCATCTGGTGATGAGAAAGGACAAGATGTTTACAGCCATCCCTCCCCAAACAGAAGTCTGGTAACACCTCCTGAGGGGAAGCTCTTGCCCGCTGTCAGCCGGGGAGGACTCTGAAAGCAAAGGCCCTGTGGCCATCAGGCAGGACTGAGTTCAGCAGCACATGGGATGCAAACCGTAGCATGGCCCACAGACAGGTGGCCACCACGTGACCACTGACCCCAACAAGGTTGCCTCTCAGCTGGCCTGCAGTTCTGGGGGCGAGCTCTGAATTCACTACACCTAGGACAGACTGCTGGGGCTCCGCCCCTCGGGATGGGAGCAAGTGGGCCGCAGCAGCCCTGCCCCCAGATGCTAGAGCCTCCCTCCCCTCTGCTTTCTCAGGGATCACATGAGAGGCTGGATCGTTAACAGAAGAGGAGCTGCACGGCTGCACGCAGATCTTCATGTGGACCAGCCTGCCTGTCCCGGCCTCACCCAGACCTGGACCTAAGGGGTGGGAGCCGTCCGACGGTTGGGCCTGTGACCCTCACTCCGTGCTTTGAGTTCAGCGAGGTCCTCATGCTGCTGGAAGGCAGCCCATGAAGAGCGCTTTCCAAGCAAACGGTTCACAGGTCACTTTTCAGAATCTGGACTTGTCAGGACCCGCAGACCCACAGTCCGCTCCAATCCACAGCACGGCCTCTGCTCAGGCCTGGCCGATCTGAACAGGGGTCTGCACCCCCGCTGCCCCACCCCCACCCCACCAGGTGCTTTCATCTCCACAAGCCTCCCAGGCCCCACCAGGCTTATCCTGGCTGGGGGTCCAGTTGGGAGCCGTCTGCATGCCCACGCGCAGGGCCGACCTTGCTCAGTGGTTCCCAGGACTCAGACACGCAGGCGTACCTTTCCTTGCTGGATTTTGTAAACGATACTGTAACGACCTTTGACAATGCAAAGCGGCAAATTAAAGTTGATTTGTTTCCTGTTTCTCATTCGGAGGGCTTTTTCCTTCTTTGATGGTTACATGAACGGTAAAGTGGACGATCAGCTGTGCTGTCGTCTCAGATTCTGGAAGGAAAACCCAGCCCTTGCAGATCTGAAGGCCACTGCTTCTGACACTGGTGTTTCCGGGGTTTCCGCAACGCCAGAGTTTGGTGCTTCTGGGCTCGCCTTCCTGCCCACGGGGTAAGGATCTGCAAGCTTCCTTACGTTTTTAACAGCAGCGCAAGACAACGGAGTCTTACTGAAACTCACCCTAACCTTTATAAATGGAGACACCCCTGCCTGGGCTGCCCTGAGCAGGTGCCCCAAGGTGTCAGGCTGGGCCCACCCCTCCAGAGGGTCCCACTGTGGCTGCCTGCGGACACTCTGGGGCAGACCCCTGGGCCCCTTTCCCCGTCCCTGGGGCCTGCCTCTGTGCCACCAGCCATCTCCTCTGCCTGCCTCCCATGCGCTGGCTCTGCTGCTGACCGGCGGCATGACTCAGGACGGCTTCATCTCGGCCTGTCTGCTCCTCTGTCGGGCGGGGTATGGCCCCTATAGCACACACCAGCTACCTCCAGCCAGGCTGTTACTACCTCCACGAACCCCCGGGAAGCCTGTAAGGCAGGTACTACCAGCCCTGCTGTGCAGGTGTGGGTAAGTCACCGCCTCAGCTTTCCAGAGCTGGCAGCTTAGCACAAGAATCTTCAACACAGTAGCTAAATGCTGAGCAGGAGGGCAGCCGAGGTTGGCCCTGGAGTGAGCGGCCCCAGGGAGGGCACAGCTGGGCACTCCTGAGGGAGAAACCCCCAGGAAGGCCCTCCTGTAGTTCACCGAGGTGCCTGCACTCCATCCTGGCAGGGAGGCGGTGGGGGGGGGGGGTAGCTCAGGATCTGCGGGACACTTGGCAAGGTCTCCAGCCAGTGGGTGGGGAGCGCCCCATCAGGAAGACTTGGCAGATTTGTCAGGGTGGAGGTAGCCTTGAATCACTTCCTCTCCAAGGGCTGTTTCCTCTTCCCCCACCGCTCCTTGACCTTGGCCTCATCAGGCCACTTGGGATCCGTCCCACGGCCACCCACCCTTCTCTCAGAGCTGGATTCCTGCTCCGCCTGCAGGTTTTCCCTCAGATGACACTGGCCCCGTGTGGCCCTCCGACAGAGCTCCTTGTTTGCAATAAACGCCTGCTTTGGCTTCTCCCTCAACAGGTCCCTTGGCCTGGTTGTAACTGTTCAAACACACTTTGAAAACCAGTACTGCTCTGAACGCACCCGATCCCGTCTGAAAACCAGTACGGCAGTAAAAATACGCTGCACTGTCAAAAACAACCTCCCCTCCCTCAGGAGACACTGGCTGGGCAAGGCCTTCCCAGGCTGACACGTAAGTCCCACCCAGAGCAGCCCCGCCTGCAGCCCCGTCCCCCTACACCCTGCACCTCCCCACCGTGCGCCTGGACACCCAGGCCCTTGGCCTTCACACCTCCCACCACCAACCTCCCCTCGGGCCAGCCTGCCCCTGCTCTCAACACGCAGACTCAACACAGTAAAAGTTCAAGTGCTTCCGCGGAGCCAAGTGGCATTTTGTTGTCACGAAGCCGGATTCCACTGCTAACCTGCCCGACACTGGAGAAGGATGATTAAGGGGAAAGGGACGGTCCCATTCTCTTACCACCCCCAAAAACCAGCCTGTGAAGCACAATGAATGAAACAGCATGACTGTGTCCGCCCCACTCCGGGGACAGGCCCCTTACCTGCCGGCTCACAGGAGAGGCAGCCGGCCTCCACCTCCACAAACAACGCAGAGCCTTGCACAAAACACACTTTATTGAGAGAGAAGCGGCTGGTGGGAGGAAAGATGTGGATGGAATCCCGGATGCTGTTCCCAGCTCTGTCACCAGCATCAGACGTCCTCCCAAGCTCCGGAAGCACGGCCCGCAGCCAGCAAAGGCCTCCGCGGACCCAGCAGGAGGCAGGGGGCGCAGGGGCCCTTCGGTGGGGGGGGCCCCACGGGCCAGGAAAAAGCAGACCAACTGCTCCCTTCACTGTGCTGTTTCACTGCACTGTCTGCCAGCACACACGCGCGCACACACACACGCACACAGTCAACACACTCATCTGTGTATTTTAAAAACTCACCAGTCGTCAGCAAAATATTTCTACCTTCCAACCCCTTTCAAAGGAAGCGCTTCCCAGACGGAAAGACAAACAGGACCACAGACAGACACCCAACAAGGGCCTTCCTGCTCCCGGCTTGCTCCCGGCATGCCCCTGGGTCCGCACCCCCGGCCAGCCTCCCTTGTGTGCACACTCCCCGTCTGCCCCCTGGGCTTTCAAGGGTTCACTTCCCTGCACTGACACATGGTTTCCTGACTACACATAAGCCCCATATTTCAAAACATTATTACCCAGCTATTTCTATTTTTAAATCACGAGAGCCAAGCCAAACCAAACCACCGCAAAGAAACTCCCAAGGATATGTTGACGGCAAATATCTACAAAGGTTCGAAATGTCGGCAGCAGAGTGCGCACAGGGCTGGCTCTGACTGAGAGCCTTCGGTATTAAAAAAGGAAAGAAGAAAATCCCAAGCATGTCTTAACACCAGTTTGCAAGAAAACCCCACACCAAAGGTGCATTTCTCCTCTAACTTTGGACTTGACCAGGCCAGCCCAGAAGCAAGCTACTGACTCTCTTCTGGATGGATCTGGACAAAGGTCTGATTTTAGACAAAGACCCTCCCTGCTCCCATGCCCACCCACCAGCTAAAGGACCAGGGATGTGAAATGCCTTCGAAATGATGATCATTCACCTTGAGGGCGGAAGGAGACCAGGCTCCTCGGAGAGGATGCAGTGGAGCTCGGCAGAGCCAAGGGGGGGAAGGCTCAGGGCTCCCAGAGAAACACTTTTCCCCAGATGCCCAGTAGTGACACTTCCCACTTGCAAGGCACCAGAGCCCTCCCCTGCTCACACCGTTGAGCCAGATTCTCCCCCGCCCAGAACCAACCACAAGGAGCAAGAGAAGGGCCTGGGCCTGGGGCCATGGACATGAGGAAGGTGGCGACATGGGTAAGAGCGCATCCGAGGAAACATGCAGGGCCCCGGTCAGCCCTGGTGCGGACTGGACCCGGGAACTGAGTCCCCAGTCCAGGGGCACAAAGGACTCTGTGGGCTGGGGAAGCCTGACCCACCCGCGGGCTGGGGTTGGACCCTCCACTCAGCCACCAGCACGCACCCCTTTTTCCATGCTTTTAATGCTTTTCAGATGGTGAGAGACGGTTGCAATGGTCAGAGGCTGTGCTGGTGGCCGAGAGCACCCCCATGCCTGCCCCCCACGCCCCCTCCTCCAGGAGATACTTGAAAGGGACCGACGGGCTCCTCCCTTTGAAGCCCCACCTTAAGCAGCAGACCAGCATCTCCAGTTTGGTCCTGCCTCCTCCTCCCCCCAGAGTCTCCCGCAAGCCCAGGAGAAAGAGGTGCTTCCGGCCTCTCCTAGGAGCTGACGACGTGGCCGGACCAGGTCTCGTGCTTGGTGCCTGGAGCCAGATGGGTGATGACCACCTCCACGGCCTGCAGCTTCTCGTTCTTGGGGGGAATGGAGCACATCTTATAGGTGACCTCGTCGCCTTCCACAGGGACGTACTCCCCTTCCACACTGCAGGGGTGAGGAGACAGCACTCAGTGCCCTGCCCTCAGAAAGGACCGCAGCCCCCGCTGCTCAGAGGGCCAGCCCATCTCAGTGGCCCCCGTCGTCTCCCCTGACGCAGAGGCCGAGACCAGGCTCAGCCCGTCCAGGGCCCCACACTCTCAGTTAAATGGAGGCACCATGGGCCTGGGGACAGAAGGGCAGGGAAAGCTGGTCCGAGCCGAAGAGAGGAAGACAAGTCACCGTCGCGCGCCGGTGCGACGACTCCTGAGCTGCTGCAGCACACCCAGCACGGTCCTAGGAGCCCCCAAACCCAGCTGCGCGCACCTGTGCCCTCCAACTCCCCAAGCGCTCAGCAAGCTTCGGGAAAGTCCCTTCTGTGCTTAAAGCTAGTTCCAGAAAGCGTCCTCTCCCTGTGACCACCCCAGAAAGAGTCTCTCAAGTTTGAGGGGGGCACAAGCCACCATCTCGCCCGTCCCAGTGAGGTGCCCATCTTGATGCCCCCTGGAGGACCCCTCCAAGAGGAACAGCCCCCTCGGCTCTTGGAACTGGTTCGTCTTGATGGAAGAAGCCCCCCCCAGCAAATGGTGCCTCCCTCGGATCCGGCCACCCGGAAGCCCAGGACTACACATCTGCAGCCCGCTTCCGGCCGTGGAAGCAGACATCCCGTGTCTCCACCTCTCTGATTTGCTCCCCAGCAAATCTCTTTAATAACTTGTTTGCTCCTTACTAACTTATTTTTCATGGTGCCCTGCGACTATCCTTGTAAACCCTTACCGATCCCTTCTGGCCGGGGGCGAGATGAAAATACACGTCCACGCCAGTCTACGTGTGCAGACACACGTCAGACGCACGGACTCTGCAGCTTTCTCGCGTGTGCACGGTAGAGGGGCAGTGAAGGCCCCGCGTGCAAGAACGTCGGGGAGAAGCATCCAGAAGGGATCACTCGCCCGTGCCAACAGACGCTTGGGACAGTGCCCTGCCTGCCTGCAGCAATGGGGTTTTCCTCTATGGCCTGGTCTGCCGTGTGGGATGGGACGCAGCCCGCCACAGCCTGAACTGAAAGATGGGGGAGGCGGAGGCCAAAGAATGGGGCAGGGGTAAGGCGTGCGTGAGGAGGGCCCCCATATCTGAAGGCGGGAGAAAAGCGCAGGCTGCTGGCTGCCTTCCAGCACTGAGATCTCGAATGTGTGGGCCGCGCCCTGGGCCTCCCGAGGGTTTCCACACAGGAAGGAAGGACGTCAGTGAGCAAGTGGCAGGGAGAGGGTCCAGCTCCTAGCCTCACCAAGTGGTTTCCCCGAGGTAAGCAGGAAGCCAGGCCCTAGGTCCAGTGCAACTCCTGCAGCTCCCAGGGATGCCCCCGTCCCCATCCACCAGATACACAACCTCCCAGGGGTTCTCAACATACTTACGTGTGTACACATGCGCTATCTCTTGTGCGCGCACACACACACACACACACAGACTGTCGCCTGCAGCCGCCCACACACACCACTGCCAAGTACAGTCTCACCACCCCACCCCCAGGCACAGTCACACACAGGTCACAGGCAGAGTCTCACACCCTCACACACAGCGCCCACCAAAGTCACACCCTCCCCCTGCCTCCTTGGGGCCTAGGCAGCCCCTGCCCCAGCCCCAAACCACACAAACCAGCCCTGACTCACTCAGAAATGTGCAAGAAGATGTCGGGGCCGCCATCGGCCGGGGTGATGAAGCCGTGGCCCTTGGATCGACAGAAACATTTGCAGACTCCTTTGTATACAGGACCTTGAGAAGCCCGCACCGTCCTGACAGAGATGAGGAAAGTGTGAGGAGGCCCCCACCAGCCCCCCAAAACAGCATCCCACTCTCCCAGGACACACCCAGCTCATCCCAGAACCTCCCCCTCAAAAGCTATGCCCCAGGCAGTAGCCAGGGGCATAATGTCCAGCTGTGCAGTGTGCACTGCACAACTGTGGGAGCCATTCACACAGACTCCAGTAAGAGACGCTCTCTGATGACCCTGGCAAATTTTCTCGGGCCTCAGTTTCTCCATCTGGAAAGGGGGTTAGACTAAAAGCTCCCTGAGCATCCCTCCGAGCACTAATTATTAATCACAGCAGCCTCTACTCCTTGAGCCTGAGATCTGGATCTACCAGGCACCGTGCAGGTCCTTTGCAGCTCTGTAGCCAACCTGCTACTGTCCCCATTTTGCAGCTGAGGAAGTCGAGGTCTCACAAAGGAAGAGGCTTGTTTGCGGTTAACACCCAATCATTTAAGACCCCATTGATTTCCCATTTGTTACGACCCCCAGCTTGGGGCAGGCTCAAGGGGCCTGGGGCGTGCCCCCCAGAGTTTACAGGGTACCTTCCTAGTCTTGCACCATCAGTCCTTACCCTAACCCATTTATCTCCCCATTTGACAGGCAAGGACAATGAGGCAGAGATGACCAGACACAATGATTCTGGCTCTGGGCAGGAGACCTATCTTAGGAGGCTTCACCAGACTAGCCCAAGACTCACGCTGAGAAGGTCCTTGTCCGGCGGGTGGGCAGTGGGCTGGGGACCACGTTGCCCCGAAGAGGGGACGGTGACCGATCACGGGCCCGCTGGGTGTCCAGCAGCCCCACCGAAGTCTGGTGGGTTGGGGGCTGTGGTGGTGGCGGAGGCTCAGATGACATGGCTAACCTAAGGAGAGACAGAGGGTTCTCAGGGGCTAATGCCTTGCAAGGAGGGGCCCTCCAGATGCACCCCCAGCCCTGTGTCTGACAATCTGCCAGTCGAGACCCATTGCTCTTGGCTGGGGTACAAGGCTCACTCAGCATAGAGGTCACCTTCTCTGGAAACATGCCCGGGTTGCCCCAGCTGGGTCAGGTGCCTCAGCTCCTGCTGCAGTCATAGGCCTCCCTCTGGCATCGTTCTGCCAGGAAATGCCCGCTTGCCCCATGACAGGGATGCCATCAGTCCCCTCTAAGTCCCCTCCACGCAGCACAGATCTTGGCACACTCGGGGCACTGAGTCAATACTCATGAAAGGGAAGGAGGGAGGGAAGGAGCAGGAGGGAGGGCAGGCGGGCTTTAATGCCAGCTACCTAGATCACACTCCAGCTCCCCAGCAGACTTGACCCACTAAGTGCCAGGCACCCTGGGGAAGGCGGAGAGGCAAGGGAGAGAACAGCACACAGTGCCCCTCCAAGAAACTCTGGACACAAACCGGAGAGGCACAGACCCCAGCTTTGGATCCCCCGGGGGCTGTCACTAGCCTGCATCCGGGACAGCGAGCCCGAGGGACCCAACGTGGCAGGCCACTGCAGAGGCCCTTACGTGTCCAAGCGCTGAGCAGGCGCCCTGCCTGGGCCACTGGCCACGAGGAACACCAATGGTCACCCTCAGCATGCATCAGAGGCGGGCTCAGACCCGGCTGCGGGCTCTGGGGGCGGCGGACTCCCTAGCTGCTGCCCGGCTCTGGCACTTGTGCCAAGAGCAAGACGTGGCCACTGCCCTGAACACGTGACCACTAAGGTACCTGCTCTGACTTGGCCTTGGATTAAGCCCAATAGGAAAGAGCAAAGCTCAGGAGCCGGCGGGCTTTGAGCAATCCCTTCCCGCTCTCTGGGACCAATCTCCCCATCTGTAACACGGGGCAGCTGAGTGGGCATCCCTGGGCACCTGTTTGGGGCTGGTGACGGCAGGGAAGGTGAAGGGAGCCAGGCCCCACAGCCAGGGCAGCAGCGGCGGAGCGCTGAACTCACACCGGGCCCAGGCGCGCAGGGCGAGCTGGGGCGGTAGCAGTCCCGAGGGTTTGTGGGCTCACGCAGGGTTTTCACACTGAAAACAGGGGCTGCCCTAAACACAGCTCTCGCAAACGGGGGCTTCCAACCACTCTGGGAAAAACTCGAAGATCTGATCACCCTGAACCCCCAACTGCCACCCTGCTTCCCTCACTGATGGTGACTCTGTGGCCCCGGGCCCTGGGCTTTCGGCCTACATCACCCAAGAGTGTACCCTCTGCCCGCATCCCAAGCCACCCGAGACCCAGGCCTGATTCCTCCCCGAAAAGGGCCAAACCTCTCCCCTGTCCCCTTCCCCCACATTCTACCCACAGCCCCCCACACTCCCCTGTCTGGCCTTAGTTCTGTCTTGCTAGGAAGAGAGAGGGCTGGCTGGCCTTCTGGAGGAAGTGACATAGTACCTCCTGACCCTTCTCTCAGCTGCAGCCGTGGCCAGGGAGGACCGGGGAGCCCCCACCTCATAAAGGTCCCGGCTGCTGGGCTGGGGCAGGGCTCCAGCGTGACCCAGCAGCACAGGTCATAGAGTCCCGGAATGTTCCAGTGCTTGGGGTTCTGGGAAAGGGGCTGGCCCAGAGAAAGGAGCGTCCTGCCCAGGCTTCCCGGGACAGCAGGGGGGACAGCAGCGGGAAGCAGGGGACCCCCCACCCCCACCATCTACAGTCTCCTTGCCTTCCTCTGCAGTCAGGCACATCTGCCCTCATTTTGCCATGAAGGTGAAATCACAGACTACACGCTAAGCACTCAGCATCGACCCAGCACCAGTGAGCAGTAACTGCCAGCAATCACTGCTGTAACTGTCATCATAAGGTGATTCCACACACAGGTGACTGGTGTCAGGCCCTCTGGTCATGGCACTAGAGACACAGGGCCTGAATGTGCAGGCAGAGAATAAACAGGTAGCTAAGAATATAAATAAGATCATCACAGATTCCCAAAGGGCTGCTAAGAAATACACAGAAAAAGTAAGTGGGTGGAGACGCTTTTCTAATGAGGGTATATGCAGGGCCCTAACAATAAGAGTCAACCATCTGAAAAACCGGGAGGCTCTTCCAGGTAGGGGAAACAGCCTATGCAAAGGCCCTGAGGTTGGCAAGGGCCCAGGTGTGGCTGAAGGCCAGCAAGGAGGCAGTGTGGTAGGCACCAGGGATGGGGAGATGAGAGCCAGGAGACGAGGGCCAGCTTACAAATTAGAGGGCATCACCTTACCATGCCCACCTCCCCCTGAATTAATGAAACAAGCCCAAATTAGGGGCTCCCTTTCTCTCCACTGGAACATCCCTGATTCCCCAAATACACCTCAGAGATGCCAATGGGAGCCCGTGGCTGTGGGGGTGAGCAACCTGAGGGCAGCACAGGGTCCCTCCACCTCTCTAGGGCCCAGCACGGGGGCTGGTGGAGAGCAGCGTTCCCTTCCTAACCAGCATAAGAACCAGGAGCATTGGCCTGGCGCCCACCGTGAACTTGATATGCTCTCTCGTTAGCACAGTCCAGCAAGGGGTGGTGACAGCCATGCTCACACCCAGCAGTGTTAGAAACCGGGGCCGGAGGGCACCACTGGCTGGGGCGGGGGGTGCAGGGAGACCCCGGGTCCTTCACCACTGCCATCTGTGCTGGAGAGCAGCTGGGGCAGCTGGGGCAGGCCTGGCGAGAGGCCAGCCCACCCCCAGGGCTGGCAGAGAGAAAGAGGAGTGAATGGCCGCTGTCTGGGGAAGGCTGGGGTCAGAGTCCAGCTGTCAGGAAAACAGCTGGGGGAGGGGGTAGCCAGTGACCCAGGAGCCAACCCTGCAGCTGTTGCCCACCCCCCACCCCATTCCACACACAGATGGGGAGAGGGTGTACAGAGGGCCAGACACACCTCCCACCAGGGTCCAGGGCTCCCGCGGAGGCGGGGCCCACCCTCCAGGACCAGCCCCTTCCACCACCAGCCCAGCACCCCTTAACTCCCCACAGCTCCCCATGGCCAGCCGGGAGCAGTTTGCAAGAAGATGCCTGAAGCCCAGACATGGGAGGGGCCTCTGACGGGCAGCACAGTGGCCTAAATGCCCCTGGCCAGGGCGCGTCACAGCTCCTGTGCTTATGTACGTGTCTGTGCACACGTATATGTGTGTCCTCACATGCACGGGCTTGTCACTGCCTGTGTGTGCACATCAGGGGACCAGGTGGGGCTGTGTCTGTCCCCCAAGCACACTGGGGGCTTGCACGGGCCCCTGAGGACCCTGACGAAGGCTATATCCCTTCCAGCAGTTGCCAGACCACTCACTATGCGCAGGAAAATTGGACACCAGGGCAGCAAATTCCTGCTCTCAGGAGCTTACGCTCGGGGACTGAAGACCCACAACCATAGGGACAAGAGCAGTGTCCTGGAGTTAGGCACCTCGCCCAGCTCTACTCGTTCATCCCCACTTTGCTGATGGGAAAACTGAGGCACAAAGTGTCAAGTAGCTTGCCTTGGGCCCCCCAGCTAAGAACTAAACTGGGGAAATGTTCTGGAGAAAAAGCAAGTGGGGGAGGGGAGCATGGGTGGTCTGAGGGGGTGAAGGGGGGAGGGGGCACGCTCCCCTTCCCTCAGTCAGCCCCCACCCCAGGTTCTAAACAGTGCCCAGAGCCAGGGGAGGGGGACCCAAGGTCCTAGAAGTGAGGGAGCCAGGAAGTCACTCCCACTCTGGCTGCCCTCGGGGAGGGGTATGTCAGCAGGGCCTTTCTCCCCGGAAAGGGTGGAGAAGGGGGCCTCAACCCAAAATAGCCTGGGAATTTTCCACAGGCCCTGCGTGTCCTCATATTAGGTCCTGAGAGTCCACCCAGGCACCCGGCTCTGGCCTTCCCAACACCTCCCCTCAGCCCACCCACCTATCTGGGGACTCCAGACAACCCTGCAGACCCCTATGAGCCCCCACCTCCCGCCTCCCCACCCTGAGAACCCAGCAACCATAGCAAGGATGAATCCCTCTGAAGCCCAAGAGCCAGGTGCTTTCTCCAGGGAGGGGAGCATGGACAGTGTTTCTCAGTCGTTTACACTTTAGTGAAAGGAGTTTGCAGTTTACTTCCCAAGACTCCATTCTTGGTAGCTTTCACACCTCTCCCAGACGGCAGGAAGACGGGGGACTGGGGGGAGTCTAGGGGAGCAAGAACTGGGTTTAATCACATTGGGTGCTTCTGTCTCCGTGTGGTTCTTGGCAAAGCCAGGCCACTCCAAGCGTAGACTGAAAACTGGGAGTGTCTTGAGCCTCACATGGGTTTCTGGCTGGGGGAAGCCAGGGCTGGCATCATGTGTGGACGCTTCCCAGCTGCAGGGCCAGGCCGCTGCTGGCACATGAGGGTGGCTCTGAACCAACCCACACAGAGGACGGGGGCAGGGCACTGGAGAACCAGCCATGGCTGAGGAAAGGGGACAAGAGTGAGGCTGTGCTTTGATTCATCTGATGGCCACTGCCCACGACCCACCGACTTCGCTGTTGGGCTCACGGCTGGGCGCTCATGTAATTGAACTAGATTCATGCCCACGGCAGCACAGCTGGGGAGATGCCTTAATCCCCATTTTACAGGTAGGGAAACTAAGGCACAGAGAGCTTCTCACACTTTAGGGTCCCCACGAGTGTGGTAAAATGCAGACTCTGATTCTGAAGGGCAGGAATGGGGTGGTCCTAAGGCGCTCCCAGTGCGGCAGGTGCTGCTGGTGCAGGGAACAGAGCAGCATCAGCGTGGGCTTCACGACCTGCCCTTCACAGCCGGTGGGTTGGCAGGTGTCAACTCCCAGTGAGAGGGTGGCAGGGAAACGGGGGGGGTGGCCAGGGGTGAGGTTCTGGATGACTCACAAAGTTACTCTAGGGCACCCCAGGTTCCTCCTTTGTAAACTGAGGCTGAGACTCGGTGACTCCCTCCCCACCTCCAGGCCAGCTGGGCCCCCACCTGGCAGAACGGAGGGCTGACTGTGGAGGGGCAGGTCCGCTACGCGGAGGCGGGACAGAGGAGTCCCAGGAAGCGAGAGGCCCCGGGAGGGGGCCCGAGACGGACCTCTGCCACCTCCCACTCTATTGTTCGGGAGAGAGCTGCGGCGGGCTGGGAGGGAGTGGATGGAGGGGAGGCAGGGGAGGGGCGGGGGAGGCAGGGGAGGGGCGGAGGAGGCCAGGGGAGGAGCGCCGAGGGGAGCGGGGGGCGGCGGGCTACCGCCGGCCAGCCGCCGCCCGGAGCCAGCAGGGCCCGCCGCAGAAACACAAACAAGGCGGGGGGGGTGCCGCCCGCGGACAGACGCGGACAGACCCCTGGCGGGAAAGTGCCCTGCCGCCCTCCCCCCACCTCCCTGGGGCCCCAGAGTGCTGAGAAGAGGCCGGAAACCCTTGGACCCGCGGCTGGGGAACCCGACGCGGCCCCTCCAGCGTGGCCGCCTGACCCCCGCCCCGGAGTACCCCGACGGCGTCGCGGAGACCAGCCCCGCCCGGCGGAGAAGGTCCCCCAGCGCCGCGCCTCCCACTTCCAAGGGCCCTGCGCCCCCCTCAGCTCGTAACCAGAAGCCGACTCTGCACCCCGTCACCCCCGGGTCACGCATTCCCGTATTGCATCCTTGCCTCCAGCGCTCCCCGCACCCCCGGACTTCGCGGGGTGGGGGTGTTGACCGTAGTTTCAGGCCCGACTGTGCTCTCCGCTGCCCCTGTGACCCCTGGCAAGTGACCTCCCCACTCGACGCCCGTTTCCTCATTTGTCAAACGGGACACTGATGCAGCATCCCAGGCCCCCGGACGCGGTGCAGACGGTGCCCGCTGCAATGGCCTCAGCCAACAATACCTGAGCCGCTAACGGGGGAACTGTCAGGCATGGGGCCATCTAGAATAATCCCTCCCACTTCTGTCGCTGCTGATGAGACAGAAACCAAAGCCCTGCTCAGCCACTCCGCGGGACAAAGACAGACGTTCCCCTCCCAGGGGAACCCACCCTTAATGGCGACCAAGCGCCCCAGGGCCCCGCTGGGTCTGGCTCAGCTCCGCGACGCTACAGGACCCTGTTCTTGCGCTGGAGGGGCTCCGGCGCCACTTGGGGATGTGGGGGCGGGAGGATGGGCAGCCAAGCACTGAGAACCCGCGGCCACCAAGCTCCCCCCCCCCCGCCCCCAGCCGGAGCGCAGAAGTAGGTGGAGAGGGCCTGGCGGAAGAGGGGAGGCTGCCTTGAGTCTTACAGGGATCACTTCTGGGGGGTGGGGAGGGGGTCACTCCTGGCAGAGGGACCTGCAGGAGTAAAGGCCCAGGGGAAGGAAGGGGGTGGTGGATGCTGGAGAGGGCCGCCATGGAAGGTAACAGAAAGCCCTGTGGACAAGTTTGGGACTTAGACAACAGGGACATCAGCGGACGATTTTAAGGCAGGGGGTTGATTTGAACCGATTGTTTTTACAAGTTCCCTCTGGTTTCAGAGAGACGAGAGGATTGGCGGGGCCAGACTGGAGGCGGAGACAGACAAATATAAAAAAAGCAAGAAAATATACGACAGTAGCTAATGCTTCTCCCGGGACTGGGTTAGCCTCCTCCTTTTATTCTCTCACACCCCGTTATCAAAGAAGTTATACCACTCATGTACAAATGGAGAAACTGAGGCGGGAGGCCTCCTCTTTTGCCGTGAGACACCTCCGCCAAGGGGAACGCAGGCCCTGCCTGGAACCCGCTGATTTCCCCGTCCCCCACCCACCCACCCCACCCCATACACACATCCACTCCAACCCCAGAGAAGATGCGGGGGCCGGGGACTTTCTTTTAAAAAAAATCAAAAAACAACGCTGCATTTCAGGCCTGCAAACGGGCCGCCGGCGGGGCGCGCGGGGAGGGAGCCTGTGGGCGCGGGTGAAGTTTTTCTGCTCCGCCCTGAGGCCCCCCATCCGGGCGCAAACACTCGGACAGCGCCCCGCGGCTCCTCCTCCCCCAGATGCGGCCAATCTTGCGGCGCCAGGACGACTCCCTCCGCCCCAACATCCCCCGCAACCCGGGTCCCACCGCCCGCGCCCGCCGCCCCGGCTGGGGTCCGCGCACCTCCCCGCTCCGCCCCGCGAGGCCCCCACTCGCGGTCCAGCCCACGGGCAAACCGAGGGGAGGCTGTCCCTGCACGCCGCAAGCGCTGCCGGACGTCCGCCCCAAAGCCCTCCAGCTGCGGCCACACCCGCCCCCTTCCCGGGGATGAGTAACCTGCTCTCCCCAGACAGGCCGCGGCGGCCCGGGCATCTCCTCCGGGCCTAGAGACCCAGCCCGGACCCCCACGCCGGCGGAGCCCCATTCAAGAGGGGGCTGGATGCGGGCGGCGGCCACAAGGCCACAAGGTGGCCGAGGTCCGGCCCGCGCTCCCGCCGCCCCGGAGAGGACACCCCGCCACACCCCTCTGGGGGACCCGGAGAAGCCGCCCTACCTGCGACCCGCTCCGCTTCGCCAGCAGCTCGGCTCTGACTGCGAGAGCTGAGGGGCCGGGAGGGGGCGTGGTCCGCGGGGCGTGGCTGCAGGAGGCCCCGCCCCCACGAGCCCCCAGCCAATGGGGCGGCGGGCCGGACCGCCCGACGGCCTGGAAGCGCGCGCACGCGGCTACGCCGGCGGGAGTTTTGGGTCTGAGCGCGGGACGGGGGAGGGCGCGGGACGCGGGGCGGGCTGGGGTGCGCGGCCCCCTCGCCTCGCCGGGCAGCCGTGGGGATGCCCGCCCGCGCAGCACCGCAGGTCGGAGAAGTCCCCTGAAGAGTGGAGGGCCTGTGCGGGTCCCGCCCTTAACCACCCGCTGCGGGTCCGGCCCGAAGCGGACCTTCGCTCCCGAATCCGGAAGGCCCCGGGCGCCTCCATCTTGACGGAGAGAAAGAGCTCCGGGAACGGCGAGAAGGAACGAAAAGAGAGGTAGAAGGGAGACAAGCCGAGAACTGAAGGGAATTAAAGAGGGGGAGGAAAAGAAAGCCAAAAAAAAAAAAAAAAAAAAAAGCAAAGAAAGAAAACGAAAAGAGGGAAAGTTGTTGGTTTGTTCTCTCTCTCTTTTTTTTTTTTTCTTAATTTGCACCCTCTTGTAGAGTACTTGAGTCCCGCGTCTGTGCAGGTGAATGACAAGACTCTCGTGTTACAGGAGAGGACACTGAGGCGCAGAGAAGCGATACCTCCCTGCCCCCACCTGGTCACAGCAAGTCGCAGCTAGAGGAGCCCCTAAAAGTAAGCCCAGTGCTGGACCGAGGCTCAGGTTGGTGGAAGGGGGGGAGGAATCCCGGAGCTATCCTGGGACTCTGGGCCCTGCCGGAGCCCCCGACTCTGCCTGCCTCTCAGTCTCTCCCTGTCGTGCGGTCCTTTCCTCCTCTGATTGCCTACAAAGAGACCACTGAGGACACAGCAAGAAGACAGCTGTCCACAAGCCAGGAGGACGGTCTTCCACTGGCAGGCAAATTGCTGGCACCCTGATCTCGGACTTCCCAGGCTCCAGACCTGTGAGATGTCCATGTTTGTTGCTTGGGCCACCCGGTCTGCGGTGTTTTGTTACAGCAGCAGGAACAGCCTTCCTGTTCCTGCTCAACTAACCACAGTCGCTGACCATTTCACACCCAAGTTTGGTCCATTTCTGGGCTGCGGTCATTCACGGGGTGTGCCGCCCCATGCCAGGCTCTGTGGGGTGCTGAGTGTCCAGGAGTTTAAAAAGTGCCCACCCAGTACCCGCCCAGGAGGAGTCACCTCCTGTTGAGACAGCAGGCCGGTGGATAAGGGGGGTGCCAGGTGGTGCCCTGGATAAGCCTCCGTGGTTCAGTGAGGGCCCTGCCCTAGGCACTGTCAGACAAGACAGGTCCCAGGAAGAGTTCTCTCTCCCAATTGTCATGGCTTGAGCCTCCCGCGACCTGAGACATCAGCCCACCATTGTGGCTCCATCCCATGGCACTAGCCTAATGGCCCGACTTGAGCCAGCCACAGATGAATACTGGCCTAACTTTTCTGCCCAATAAGGACCAATGATCTCTTCAGCCACTTGAGAAATATTTACTGCACCTGGACTCTATTCCAAGCCTGGGACTAAACAAAACTCATGTGGGTTCTGTCCCCGCCCCAGACGTTATAGAGGGGAGGCAGATCTTAAATCAGTAATCACAGTGGTATAAGATCCTGCTGTGCCCACAGCAGGGAGAGTTACCCAGGATGGGAAAGCCAGGAAAGGCTTCTCTGGAAAGTGCTAGTTGACCTGAGATCTTCTGGAAGATCAGTAATTAAGTAGATAAGGAAAGGGCACTCCTGAGAGAGGTTAGTGGAAATGCAAAGGTCCTGAGGCAGGAGAGTGGTGGGGCTAGGACTGGAGGAGAGGGAGTGTGAGGTACTGAGGTACAGTGGCCAGAGCCAGAGTGGGCCTTAAAGGTGCTGACAGCCAGGGAAGGGAAGGTCTAAGAGCAGGGATGAAGTGGAGAGTCCCCTACCTACCTGCCCCTTACCCCCCCACCCCTGGTCCCTTTCCGCCATGACTGGGGCTCTTCCATCTCACCAGGAAGAACAGCCTCTTCCCATGACTTGTGCCCTCCCCTACCAGTATCAGTGTCCATCCTTGTTTTCTGTGTAGCAGCCAGAGTGAGCTTTCAAAAGCATAAATCCAACCATTGCTAAAGAAAAAATTCTTATGACACTAGTTAAGACAGTGAGACTTTATTCAGGACTGTCTTGAAGGTGCAGGGACCACTGCTATGGGGCTTTGCTCTGTGGGAGGGAGAGGGAGCTCAGCTCCAAATATGGCAAGGAAGAGTGGAGATTTACGGGCCAAAGAGCACGGTCAGTGAGCGGGAAATTGCTAGAAGGAAGTATGGGAGGGAAGGGGGGATTCTGGCTGAGCTGACCTAGCAGGATTCTCGCAGAAGACAGGCCAGGGCAATCAGGCATCCCCTGGGAGGTGGCAGGGGATGAGGAATTTGGGTAGATCCTGAGGGTAGGGAATTCTGGCTAAACCAGCTTGACAGGATTCTTGCCAAAACTGGACTCTACAAGGACAGGGTCAGAAGCTCAAGTTCAGGCCTAGTAGAGCTGAGGGCTCAGGGGGACCGAAGTAAGGTCTGGCCAGGGAGAGAATTTTTGTCACCATGTCCCTCCCCTTCTCAAAACCCTTCCATGACTCCCTATTTCTCTTTAAATGAAAGCCAGACTCGTCTGCTGCAGCATTTTAGATGGACTTGACATAAGAAAATTACAGTAAGGAGCCCGAGCAAGCTGGAGGGGTAGATCGGTGAGGTGGAAGAAGATGGGGGGGGGCGGGGGGCGCCGTGCCTAGGGTTGATACTGCAGGTCTGTTGTCCTCAAGGACTGGGTGTCTTTTCAGCAGGTCCCCTCTCTCGGCACCTCCATTTCTCATCTGTAAAATGGGGACAACTGCACCTCTCGATGAAAGTCCTGTTGCAGAAGGGAGAGCACCCATGGATGCTTAGGACACAGCTGGATACACTGTAAGCATTATTTGTTTTTTATTTGCTTTTTTAAACACTTCTTGCTTGAATCTAAGTGTCGCCCTAGTAATGACAGTAGCCGCCCGGTTCTGCTCCCTACAATGTGTCAGCCACACTGCACGCTGTAATGTGTGTCACTTGAACTTCTTAAAGCCTTATTGCAACCCAGAAGAATTGTCATCCCATTCTACGAATGGGGAACTGAGGCTCAGATCAGCAGTGCAGCTTACCCAAGGCCAAACAGCACTAACTGGGACAGGCTGAGATCTGAATGTCACCATGTGACACCCCAAGGTTCTCATTCCGCAGGCTATTTAAGATGAAATTCCCTCCCCCTACCCAGGATATGTCACCCCACCCGATGTCTCAAGAGAGGGGTCTCCCTGGGCTGGAGCAGGGATGGGAGCTTGGGCTCTGGGAACACTTGCTTCTCCCTGCCTAGTGCTCCTTGTCTCTTTTGGGCCACTACTTCCCTGTTCCTGGTCTGCCTCCAGCCCCTGCCCCTCTGTGCAGCAGCCCCAAGCCATCTTATCAGGTCTCAGCATTCCCTGCCCAACCTCACGTCTCTCTGCTCACAGCACTGCAACCCCACCGGGACCTCAGGGCCTTTGCACGCACTCTTCCCTCAGTTGGAAACTCTTCCCCAATATCTTCCAAGGCTGCCTCTTTCTGGGCATTACACCTCAAAAGAGGGGACTCTCTGCCCCACCTGGAACCAAATGTACCCCCTAAAGTGTGAGCTCCCCAGGGCAGGTGCCTTATCTGCCTCCCCTAGTTTTGTTTGCCTGACACATAGTAGGTACCCAGTAAGTACCCACTGAAGAAATAGGGTCCACACCAGGGTCACTGGATGCAGTGAAGTCTGTCAGGATGAGGGGCCTGACAGATGACTCGATTTTCCTTTCCATAAAATGGCAGCAGGAGAGTGTACAGTTGAGAAAGAGTTGCATGGGGGGGGGCCAGTGGAGGGGTCCTGCCTCAGCCCTACTGCACCTGGGCTGACCCCCTCCAGGCAGCCCTCGAGGCTGGAAACTGCTCAGGACGAGGTCCAAGTCAGCTGACCGTGCCTGCTGGCTGAAGGAGGAAAAACAGGAGCCCACCTACGTTAACACAGCCCACCCCAGATGCAGGAACATACACACACACACACACACACACACACATATACCTCCACGTGCAAACCTCTGCACACAAACACCATGCAGATGAGCCCTGCCCCCCACCAGACCCGTGTCTCAAGCAATACCAGCATCTCCCCACACTCACACGCAGATGGAAACACGCGTAACCACACACCCCCACCCTACAGCTCCTGGGGCCATTCCCCAGACCCCAAGAGCCTTCTCTGTCTAGAAGATCCCCCTCTCGTCCTCCAGGCAGGCCTGGGAGCTCTGTCCCAGAGTTCTTAGGGCAGGGGATGGACGACAGCCACCCAGGAAAGCAATAAGCCCGTCACCCTCACATCAAGGTGCCTGTTGTTCAATGAGAGGGCCCCCACGGGCACCCAGGGCAGGAGAAACCCTGCTTTCCTTCCCTGGGCCCCGTAGGCAGCGGGCTTGGTGCAAGATGACTGCAGCAGCGCACGCCACCTCACGTTCCTCCAGCCCCCAGCGCGCCCCAAGCTGGGTGGAAGAGAAAGCCGACTGGGTGGTTGGCAGAGCTGGAAATTCAGCTCTGAGAGGTTAGGGGATGCCCTAGTTTGAGCCAGCAAGTTCCCGCCCAGGGCTCCCGGCACCCCCGCAGACAGAGCAGACGGAAGGGAGGGCTCCGGGGAAAGCCCCACCCCACACCTGCCCAAGAATGATAGTTACAGCTCATTCCTCTGGATTCCTTTCTCCTCCCATCACTTCCTCGCCCATGCTGGGCCCTTCTGGGAGCAGAGGAAGGGCAGGAAGCAGGGCGGGGGAGTTGCACTGCCTTTTTTTTTTTTTAAGCAGGCCCCCAGCTGCAGAGCCTTATTGCTCAAGAAGGTAGCACAGCCCAGAGAGGGTGAGTGAGGTGCCCAGGGTCACACAGCAGGAGAGGACCACGGGGCTTCCCAGGACCCTCAGCTGCCAGCACTCTAGGCTCATTGCCATTCCTGGGATGGCCTGCCTCCTGCCCTGGCTTCCGTGACTCTGCTTGTTATCGTCTTGCTTATTAATGTTACTAACTGCTAACGCGTTGCAAGCTTTCTACATGCCAGGCACAGAGCTAGATTCTTCACGTAGATATCTTTCATCCATTATCCATGCAGCAAAGCTTGACAGCATCTGCTGTGTCCAGGGCACTGTGATAGGTACTGAAGAGACAGATGTGAACAAAATCAAGGAGGTCCCTGCTCTCACAGAGCTGACGTTGTGGGAGCAGCAGGTACCGATCAAGTAACCAAATCCATGAACCTGTTGCCTACAGAGCTCACCGGAAGAGCGTTTGGAGCAGGAACAGCAAGTGCAAATGCCCAGGGGCAGGATGGAATAGGACAGGACAGAAGCATGCAGAAGGGATCAGACAACAAGGTAAAACTGTCTCGTGAAATCTTCCTAACACTGTTGGCAGCGAGGATTATTATCAGACCCATTGTGCGGAGAGGTGATGATGCCGTCCCCGGAGCCACACACAACCGCGAGTGACAGAGCCCACATTTTACATGCTTCCTCTGTGCTAGGCCTTATTTTGGGGGTGCCGAGGTAGAAAATGAACCAGCAAAAACCAGTCCTCCAGGAGCCCTGAGTCTGATAGAGAGTTGATGCCTACAGAGAGGCCCCAGGGAGCCCAGCCAGGCATCCTGGCTCCCTTGTGACGAGGCACTGTGTCTGGGTGCCAGGGACTGGGGTCTAAACCAGCTCTACCGCAGCCTGGCTGTGGCCTTCAGCTGGCCTCACGCCCTCTCTCCTTCCAAACCTGGCCTGAGGGATTCAGGATAAGACAGGAGTCCTCAGCCCCAGGGCAGCCTTGGACGGCACTGGACAAGCCCTGAAGGGAGGGTGACGGGAACAGGGGGAAGGGACAGGATGGGGACAACCGTCCCCACAGAGCCCAGAGGGAGGAGGCCAGGCTGACTTGTGCAGCCTGATGCTGCCCCCTGGTGGCAGTCGTCACGGGGAGGATGCTGAGAGCCCAGCCCATCAGCTCCCTCATTCACTCACTCTCAGAGGGTCCCAGTGCAGAGGCACAGCCTGGATCTCAGCCCTGTGTGAGGGGTTCCGCCGTCCCCAAAATCCCTCAGGAAGGAGACTGTCCCCAGCCCTGTCCCCCATCTTGCATGGCCTCAACCCTATACAAAGACCCTGTTTCCTGGGGTAGGATATCCAACGGATTTTAAGCCAAATAAGGTGGGCTGGATGAGAGCGGCAACAGCTCGTTTGTTGCTTCCTTCATTCGGTCATTCGTACAGTCAAACTACATTAATCGAGCACCTTCTGCATGCTGGTGCTGGGGGATGCAGCAACACACCAGTACGTACAGGGGTGTGCACAGGCTCCAGAGGACATGCCCCCGACCCTGCCACAGATCAGAAGAGACGACGATGAGCTGTCATCATGGGAGCGAAGGGGACTGGGCCCGTGGGCAGAAATGCCGGACCAGAGGTTGCAAGACTCGGGGATGTGGGCGTCACAGTTACTGGTAAGAGAGCAAGAGAGAGCGATCAGAGGGACAGCTGAGGACGTGGGCAGGAGTCAGGTCCCCACCAGAGAGGTGATGCTCGTGATGACATCTTTGTGAGAGTTACGGAAGTGCTTCCTCAAGATGCTTTTTGCCCATCAGCTGAGAAAGGGCTGTAGTAGCACACAGATCTCTTGTGCTCATGGTGTGTGGGGCACCTTTAGTCCATGCACCCCCGCCTGTGTACCCGGACTCCCCCAGCCCCTTTGAAGATGGCACCTTTGCGCTTACCACTCGTCACAGCTGGCACCCTGCGAGCAGCTGATACTTCGGAAGAAGCTGATCTTGTTGAAGGGGAAGATGTGCAGCAGAGAGCACAGCACCCAGTCTCCCTCCCGGTTCTCTGCTGGAGCAACCCAACCTCTGAAATAACCATGGCCAGCAGATGGCGCTGTGGGAGCCAACCTCTAGAATAACCGTGGCCAGCAGGTGGCGCTGTGGGACCTAGCCGCGGAAATAGCCGTGGCCAGCGGGTGGCGCTGTAGGACCCAGCCTCTGGAATAACTGTGGCCAGCAGGTGGCGCTGTGGCCTCCCGGGAACACTTGCATTGCTGCCTGCACGTGTGATACACATGCAAAGCAGATGCTCACTGAGCACTTACTACTTTATTTCTCCATATGGTAGATTGTAGCGACGGTCCTCATTCTCCCTCCCAATGCCAGTTGTCGTGTAGCTGCATTCCCGTCACAAAAGGGAGACGTGCACCGTTCTTTCTAGGAATGAAAGCTCCCCACAGCCACTAGGTTTGAATGCCCATAGTTCATGCGAACAGCAGAAACCCAGTGGTCTACTTTCGCCCCAGTTCAAGAGTCCTGCACAGGGAGATTGGGTTGACCTAACCTGGGTCAAGCTTCCACCAGATTCCGTCAGCCTTGGCCGTAGAGGAGCAGATCACTACTGCCCCTTTGTGGGGTGGGCAGAGATCTCGGAGAGTGATCCTGTGGATCAAGTGTAATTTTGCCCATAAATTCTACAGCGCTGTGCTGCCTCGTTTAAGTCCGTCTGCTCTGTAGTTTTGCCATCAAATTGACATACAAGTTGTATTTGTTTTTGTTTTCCTCTTTTAGAGAGTTTTTCCCCTTTACTTTTTGCCCTCTCCCAATTTTACTGTTAAAAAAAAAGTGCAAGTATGCAGAAAAGTGGAAATGATGGTGAACACCTCTGGACCCACCACCTCCATTCTGCAGCTGTCACCGTTTTGCAGGGTTCGTGTTTTCATGGAGGTATCCAAGAATCCATCAACCCCTCTTACCTTCCCATGACTTTAAAAGTGAGCTGCAGATGGCCGTACACTTTGCTCCTCAACACGTCAGCTCCCACAGGTCATTAACTAGAATTCAGTGTCCGTCTGCAGCTTTTGAAAACGTTTGTCAGGAAGGATACAGATCTCAGCGTACCACTCCATGAGCTTTGACGAGTGCGTGCACCTGTGTGGTGCCAACCCCTGCCAAGACGTGGGATGTCTCTACCAGCCCAGAGTTCCCACAAGCCCTTTCTGAGTCCACACCCTTGTTGGCAGGCACTGTTCTGATTGCTTCTGTGACGCGTGTCTACCAGGACGTCCATCGAAATGGGACCATACAGTACGCACGCCTGCGGAAGGCTGCTTTCACACGACGCGTTTGCGTGCGTTCGTTCATGTGGTTCCGTGAAGGATGGTTCCGTGAAGGATGCCTTCTCCTTGGTGAGTAGTCGTCCAGCCTGTGAGTATCGCACAGTTTATCCGTTCTCTCGTTTATGAGCACCAGAGTGGTTTCCAGTTTTTTTTTTAGAGGTGGGGAGGTGGAAGAGGCAAACGGAGAAGGAGAGAGAGAATCTTAAGGCCCGACACGGGGCTTGATCTCATAACCGTGGGATCATGACTTGAGCTGAGTTGGACACAGTACTGACCGAGCCACCCCGGCGCCTGGGTTGAGGTTATCTTAAATAAAACTGCTAGGACTCTCTTCTTAGGGACATGTCTCCCTTCTCCTGAGGAAATGCCTAGGCATGATATATCCGGGTCATAGGATAGGTTTAGGGTTAGGTTTGCAAGAGACTTCCAGACTGTGTGTGCTCCCACTGGTGGCAAATGATGAGAATTTGGGGTGCCTTTTTACCTTTTTAATAATCCAGGGGTGCAAGCTCCAGCAGTTTGGATAAATGAGTACAGTTATATAGTCACGACAGTCATCTTTGCATCATTTTATCAAGTTCTCTTGTGCCCTTTGCAGTCAACCTTCCACTCACCAGCCCAGAAGCAACCTCTGTTTTGAGTTCCCTCCCTGGAGCTTAGCTTGGTCTGCGTTAGAACCCCAAACAAATAGAATCACCAGCTAATGTACTATGTGAGGTCAGGTTTTATTTTTGTTTTGGTTTCTTTGTTTTGTTTTGCTAAAAATCTTTTTTTTTTTTTAAAGATTTTATTTACTCATTTGAGAAAGAGAGAGAGAACATGAGAGGGGAGAAGGTCAGAAGGAGAAGCAGACTCCCCACAGAGCTGGGATCCTCATGCGGGACTCTATCCCGGGACTCAATCCTACGACTTGGGATCGCGAGCTGAGCTGAAAGCAGTGGCCTAACCCACTGAGCCATCCAGGCTCCCGCTCAGAGTCATTTTTTTTTTTTTTTTTTTTTAAAGATTTTATTTATTTATTTGACAGAGAGAGATCACAAGCAGGCAGAGAGGCAGGCAGAGAGGAGGAAGCAGGCTCCCCGCTGAGCAGAGAGCCCGATGCGGGGCTCGATCCCAGGACCCTGAGATCATGACCTGAGCCGAAGGCAGCGGCTTAACCCACTGAGCCACCCAGGCGCCCCTCAGAGTCATTTTTGATGCATACGCATCTTGCCAAGTAGATTGTAATTCCTTTCTTTTTTTTTTCTTTTAAAGATTTTATTTATATATTTGACAGACAGAGATCACAAGTAGGCAGAGAGGCAGGCAGAGAGAGTGGGGGAGGCAGGCTCCTCGCCGAGCAGAGAGGCCGATGCGGGACTTGATCCCAGGACCCCGGGATCATGATCCAAGCCGAAGGCAGAGGCTTAACCCACTGAGCCACCCAGGCACCCCTGTAATTCCTTCTTCTGTTGAGCAGCATTCCCTGGTATCGTATCCACTCATCTGCTCCCACATATCTGGGCTTCTGAATTCTGGCGATGAGGAAGACAGACAGTTACTGTGAATCTTCTTGTGTGCGTCTTTCTCTGGACATGTGTCTTTTTCTCTCCTGGGCAGAAATCTTGGGAGCGGAATTGCTGGTCACAGGCGGGCTGTGTTTACCTTTGTAAGAAACTGCAGCCTTCCAAAGTGACGCGTCATTTCACACTCGCGCCAGCAGCATATGAGGTTACCCATTGTCGACAATTAGGATTGTCCGTTTTTTAAAATTTTACCGGGGGTCCCTACAGTTTTCACATTTCCCGGGTGGCTAGTGATACCAGATGCCTCCTCGTGTCTACTATGCCACGCCTGTATGCTCTTTTGTGAAGTGTCTGCTTCAGTCTTTTTAAAATTTTCTTTTTTTTTTTACATTTTCTTTATTAGAGAGTCAGAGAGCAGGAGCAGGAAGAGGGTCAGGGGGAAAAGCAGATTCCCCGCCAACCAGGGAGCCCGAGGCTGGGCTTGATCCCAGGACTCTGGGATCACAACCTGAGCTGAAGGCAGACGCTTAACCAGTTGACTGAGCCACCTGGGTGCCCGTTTGGGTCTTCTATCCACTTTTACATTGAATTTTTAAAATTGCTCAGTTGGAGTTCTTTTATATACTGGATACCTGTCCTGCTGCTACTTCCTGCCTGCGGCTACGCTTTTTTCCTTCCCCCACGGGGTCTTTTGAAGAGCAGGTGCTTTGATGAAGTTGTCTTTCAAGTTTTTCTTTTTTCTTTTTATGGCTTGTGCTTTGTGTCCCGTGGAAAAAATCTTGATATACAGCCGCGTTTGTTTGTTTTCCGTTGCCGTCCGTTGTTCGTTGTTGCTTTTTTCTTTTGTCCGTGCTTCCTTGTAAATTAGTAAAAGGAATGATGGGGTTCCAAAGTCAAACCTGCAAAGCAAGGCGTGGAGAGAACCTGCTTCCCCAACCCCCCGGCTCCCTCAGCATCAGCCTTTAGTTTTTAGAACTCATTCTTTTGTTTTGTCTTGGGCATTTTGTTTGTTTGTATTTACTTAATCAGTAGATATTGAGTTCCTGTGTAACAGGCGGTGAGGATCATCCTGGAAATATGTATATCCCTCCCCATTTCTTTACGTGCACACGCACAGTATATATGTAATTATTCTTATGTAGTTAGAGTGATATATAACGTCTTGGTTTTTTAGCAATGTGTCCTGGAGAGACTACCCCATAGTCATTTATGAAATGTATTCTCTTTTCTCTCTCCTTCTCTCCTCTTTCCTTCCCTCCTTCCCTCCCTTCCTCCCCTCCTTCCTTTATTTTGGGTAGTTTCAGAGTAGCTGTGCATGGACATTTGGGTTATTTTGAGTCTTTTCTGCTGTCCCCACTAGCCCTGTGCCAATGTCACTTGATACTTTTGCTGGTCTTTGGGATGGACTTCTAGGAAGAGTGTTACTGGGTCCTATGGGAAGACCCATCTCCCCCGGAAAGCACCATAACATTTGGTCCCCGTCATTTTGTGACAGAGTTTAGTGCCCGAGCACACAGCCCTCCCTTCGTGCCTTTGTTGGCACAAATCCTGGTCTTGTTCTCACTGGCCGTGACCCCCTAGTTAAAGCTCCGAACCAGCTCTGGACACACAGGCTGCCTCCTGCATTTGGGAGTGTGTCTTCTGGGCTCTTCCGGCCAATGATCATTTTGCAGTAATAACACCAGCCTGGCTTCATTCTCAGTGCCCGGCGTGTTTCATCTGATCTCCTCACCGTCCTGTACGGCGGCATCTAGCACCCCCTTTTACAGCTGAGGAAGCCAGGGGATGGGGGGTTGGGGAAGAGTTAGCATCTGGCCCAAACTCACACAGCTCCACAGGCGAGGGAGGTGGTGGGGCTTGCGTGGAGACACCACATCTGTGTGTGCGCACGTGTGCACGTAGTTGTGTCCGTAGGCCTCCCTATGTTTCTCGGTAACAGGACGCAAACGTCCACACTGCTGGCTGTTGGCACCCAGTGGGATGACCTCCTCAAAGCAGAATCACTAGCGCTTGTTGGATTCCTATGTTTAAGTCTCTGGATTGGTGGCCCCTGACCCTGCCCCCTGCACTCTGGGAACTCGGGGCTGGACTCGCTGGGCCTCCAGGAAGGGCCGTGGGCCAGGGGAGAAGAGCCGCCTCGGAAGGCCGCTCACCCCTGCCCTGGGAGCCGCCCTGCCCTCCCGCAGAGAGGAGCCAGAGCCCAGCCCTCGGCCACTGTGAGGGCGCACATCACAATGGCTGTTCCGCCCAAGCCAGGCCTGGCAGGGGGTGCCAGGGGGGCCCACACTCTTGGTCCGAGGACAACCAGGCATCATGGGGACTCGAGACAAGCGCTCGGCCGCTCAGAACCCGGAACCCGATGCTGCCCGGATACCTTTGCTAGAACACAGGGCGCCTGGAGCACCAAGATGGAACGCTCCCCAAGGTGAGAGTCCCCCCCCCACCCCGGCTCCGGGTGACGGGCTGGCTTTGGGGCCCACAGGAAGCAGGAGAGGAAGCTCTGGGTCCTCTCGCTCAGCTGGGGGCTAAATCCTGGCCTCCTGCTGTCCCTCAGCAACCTGGGGACCGTGTGACCCAACGTGGGACAAAGTGGGGTCTCCATCATCCCATGTCCTCTCTTAAAAGTGTTAAAAAGTCAAGGAAGAAGAAAAATAGTTCCCACATATCAGGTACAACCTGCCCCTGCTGTCCCCCGCCCACCCCCTTTGCCAGACAGCCCAGATTGGCAGGGGTGGCTGGTTCAGGGGTCCTGGCCCTGCTGATGAGATCTTGGCCAAGTTGCTCAATCTCTTTGGATCCATTTTCTATCTGGAAAATGGGAGACAGGATTAGTTGGTGCAGGGCTGGCAGCTGCTCACTCCCTGTGAGGCCAGGTACTTGGTTACTTCCTCCCTGGCCTTTGCTTTCCTCATCTATAAAATGGGTACAAAACCCAGCAGGTGGGGCTGCTGGGGGTACCTGTCCCCGGGAGTCTAGTCTGTGTGGCGGAAGTGAGGAGGGACTTCCTGTGCTCCAGCTGTGGCCACTGTGGGGGGATCCCGGCTGCCCCCTTCAAGCTGCGAGGCTCCTCACCTGGGAGAGGCAGGTCTCCGTGTGCTTCCCCATAGACACACGTGGACCCCCCCCCCACCCGTCGACCACACGGTCATGATGATGGGGTTCCCGTCTTCCCCCTCCCCGACCACACTCTGGGTTTCGGGATCTCAGAATTCCGTGTCCAGACAGCCTTGCCCCTGCCTCAGGGACCGGCCACAGGCTGGGAGCTGGGGACCAGGTTGGCAGCCACATGAGATGCAAGGCCCCTTGTGGGGCAGGAGGGAACGAGGCTGGGAGCAGTGTGGGCAGGTGTAGGGTCCTAGATGCAGGAGGTGAAACACTGCCCTCCTTGGAGCTGTCCCGTCCAGAGGCATGTGCTCTGGAGATGGGCGTGCTCAACTTTCGCACCCGCGGGGGGACCTCAGGCAAGTTACTTAACCTCTCTGAGCCTGGTCTCCCCACCTGCAAAACTGCAGTGATACCACACGGCAAGTCAATGGAGTGAGGTACGTGAGAGGGTCAGCGGAGTTGGGCACAGAACAAATGCTCAAGATTTTTTTTTTAAAAGATTCTATTTTATTTATTTGACAGAGCAGCAGGGAGCCCGACTTGGGGTTCGATGGACCCTGGGATCATGACCTGACCAACCAACTGAGCCTTTTTTTTTTTTTTAAGAGATTATGGGCCCGGTGCTCCCCGTATCCTCGGCTTCTTGGCCGTGCCTCCAGGAAGCTCTTACATCCTAGGACCTGAGGACACGCGTGGAGCCAGGAACGTCTGGGTTCAAACCGCGGCTGCTCCATCTGTGCCATACGGCCACGGGTGTTCATTCCTCCAGGCCTCAGCTTGCCCTCCTGTAAAGTGGGTGGCGTCCTCGGGTCGGCCACATTGTCCGCTTGGCGCCTGGCATGCAGCAAGCCCTGGGATCTGAGGGTGGGTTTCCTTCCTCTCTCCCAAAGAGCCGCTGCCGCCGCCGCCGCCACGGCCGCCCCCTCCTCCGCCTCCACCTCCGCCTCCAGGAACTCACGTTCTTCCCCCAATGTACGTGCAGGGCGCCCAGGGGATCCAGCCAGGTGAGTGCCTTTACCCCGTCCCCCCTCACGTTCCTGGGCTCAGACTCAGACCACCCTGACCACGTGCCGAGACTCTGCCCCACCAGCACCTCCTCTCCGATGGGAAATCGGCGGGGTGGCGGGGGCTGGTCCACGGTGGGCACTCAGGAAGGGCTCGGAGTGAAATCTTGGTGAGAGCCCCCCACCAACCGGAGCAGGCAGCCCCCACCCCCCCCCATGTTCACGAGTGTGAACTTCAGAGGTCTCCAAGGGTAGAGCGCTGCGGGGCTGGGCTGTGCGTTCCCCATGGACAGGATGGAGAAGACCCCCTCAGAGCCAGAGACCACTAGGGACGCGCGTACCAGCCACACGGTTCTCGTAGCTCCCTGCCCCGCCAGGGAGGCTGCAGCCCCGTCTGCCGAGATTCTGGAGCTCCAAGGCCCCGCTCCCCCTCCCCTCCGGCCCCAGAGGCCACAAGCTGCAGACGGCTGTCCAGCCCAGACCCTGAGTCCACGGCCAGAACACTAAAGCTCACTGGGACTATTCCCTTAACAAACTCAGCCACCACCAGAGCCCTTTCTCCACACACCCAAGGTTGTAGAAATGGTCGTGGTGTTTAAATAGCCAGACACATTTTTTTGCCCCACTGTGCAAATGCAAGAGGACACGAGAATGCCAACAGGTTCTTGGTTTTGTCTTCCCGCCGCACTTCACCAAGGGGTTGGGAGCTTTCTACCTAGGACAGGGAGTCCAGAGCCACTCTAGCTGTCACGGACACCCTGGAAAGGGGACAGTGCAGCGTGCTGTCTGGGGGGGGTTTGCTGACTTGTAGGGGCTGGATTTAAGCCAGAAATGCTCCCAGATTCCCTGGGTGCCCCGATGGAGGCAGGCCCCTGGGTCCCAAAGGCTGGTGCCAGTGGGTGGTGGGACATGGGGCTGTGAGACAAAGCCAGAGCCCATACAGGGGGCCTTGGGCGCTCAGGGGAGCACGGAAAACCCGCAGGAGGGCCCGGCCAGCAGTGGACACTAGAGAGGGTGAGGCGGTAGCCAGGGTCTGAGCTGCCCTCCCCCCCCCACCCAGCAGTGTTCACCAGCTTGCCTAGGATGGGGACTGCCACTCCCATACGGTCCATATGTCAGTACTGCGGGAACTACATCATCACAGTGACCACCCCGGTCCCAGGGGTCCTCACCTGGATGCTGTGTACCGGCCTCTTCATCTTTGGGTGAGTGCTCCCCCCTCTCCTCCGCAGGGCATCGGGCGTGTAGGGTTTGGGGGGCAGCCACGGGGCATGGACGGGCAGGGTCCCCAGCAACCCTGGGGGTGACGGGGCAGGAGCAAGGCCAGCGGGGACCCCTGGGGAGAACCGCAGGGCTGCGCCCTCCCTGAGGGGGACCCATGCCTACCCCCGCTGCTGTCGCAGGTGCTTCCTGGGCTGCTGCTTCCTCCCCTTCTGCGTGGACAGCTTGATGGACGTGAAGCACACGTGTCCCGTGTGCCGACAGGAGCTCTTCCGCTACCATCGCCTGTGAACACGCACAAAATAAACGTCCACTGCGTGCCCTTCGTGTGTGTGTGCTGCTGGGGTCCGTCCTGCCCCGGGGGGGCTCGCACAGAGAGCTCAGCTGGTGCTCAGGTAGCCACGGGGAGTGAGGTCACCCCCCCCCAGGCTCCCCAGTACCGATCTGACCCCTTAGAAACTGCCGTGCACGTGACTCCTTTCCCAGCCCCTTCCCGTCAGGTCAAGCTTCGGCATCTCTGAGAACGTCTCTGCACCTCCAGCTGGGGGTGGGGGTGTGTGTGTATGCTTAGGACAGGTGCGGGATTCCCTCTGGTGACACGGGGGCTGCAGGGGCTGGGGGGGGGCTGGGGAGAGCCTAGAGGGGCACGACAAAGGGAGGGCTTTTGCTTTTCATGATTTTAGTTTAGTTGATCTCTATAGCTGATGTGGAGCTCGAGCTCACAAGGCCGAGAGCCCGCTCCTCGGCCTGAGCCAGCCAGGCGCCCCCTCGAGGGAATTTTAGTTTGCAAAATAAGATGTTACTCACCCACCTTTTCAAGGAAAATAGATTTCCTATAGAAGGGGGAGGGAAGTGAGTGAATTAGAGGGCAGGAGGGAAAATGAACTGAGTGTCCCTCTTAGTAGGAGTTAAATTTAAAAAAACAAAAACAAAAAAGCTATTTGCTGTGATGCTCCCTCCCCCAGCCTTTAGCTGCGGAGACCCAGGCAGGGGGGCCTCCACTCCAGTAACCGGGAGCTGCAGAGCCCTAGAGCATGTGACACATTGGGCACACAGTACCTAGGGACCCGTCTCTCATCAGGACAGGGTGGGGGCACCGGGAGAATCCAGGAAAACAACACGGGGACCACCCACCTGGGCTCCGCATCTGAAGGGGACGGCGGGACGCAAGGACGGTGAGCAGCAGCCAGCAGCACGCAGGAGCCGTCTTCACCGGACTGGGCCTGCCTGGGGTCTGCAGGAGCTCCACACCTGTGTGGAGATGCCGGGGCCCTGTGGGGAGTCAGAGGCCGTGCTCGGCTCTGCGATCGCGGCCAAGGCCGGATGCACCTGCAGACCTCACCCCGAGGGCGGTGTTCGGGTCCCGGGCTCAATGAGCCGCTTGCTGGCTTGGACTGGGACTCCCAGGTGGGTCTACAGCCGGGAGTGATCCATCCTAGGACAGGTTCACCGTGCGTGCGGCGCCGCTCACGATGCCTCAGGCGCTGGGGTTCGGGGTCCTCCATCACTGGCCTGGCTCAGCCGTCAGCGAACCCTTCTTCCGAGGCGTGGGCCCCTGAGGTCCCGCGCAGCTCTGGCCGGCACCCAGCTGTGAGCCCATCAATTGTTCCCTGGGCCTTTCTGACTCGACTACGCAGTGTAAGAAAATGTCATTCATAGACTTAAAAATCAGGAGATTCGCAAAGAAAATCCAGACGTTGACTTCTTTTAAATCCCAGCGTAGGTCCAGCTGCACAGACCCCCCCCCCCCCCCCCGCCCCCGCCGCAGTGCGGCAAAACTGCTGTGGGACTCAGCCCCAGCACTCCCTACTGTCCCATGATCCCAGGGCCTGCGCACCGCCTTGACGAGCGATCCCACCCCAAGGGCCCTCAGTGGTCCTGTCCCGAAATCGCCCTACAGGATCGAGCTGGGGGGATTGCGACCTCCACCCAGGGCGCAACTTTCCCTGAGGGCCACCGGGGCAGTGTGGCCACAAGGGCCCGGGGCTGAGAGACCCACCCGGCCTTGGGATCCTGCAAGCCCTCCTCACTGCTAAATGGGAACGGCCCTGCTCCTTCCGCTCCAGACGGCCGGCTGGGAGCACCCGGGAAGCGGGCGGCTGAGGTGGTCAGCCCTGCACTTGGCAGGCCGAGCGCCCGGCCAGGCAGCACAACCTGGTCACTGGGCTGCATGGAGGCAGCATGGCCTGCTTCACAGTGATGACTGCTGCAAGGACAGCTGACCGTTCTCTTGGGCACTCTCTCCCCCGAGTGTGGCCAACACCCAGAGATGGGACAGGGCCCCACCCCCATATGGCAGGGGCAGGCTGGAGGGTGTGTGCTGGCCGGGGACAGGCAGGCTAAGGAGCTAGCGAGCCTCCGTCAGGATGGGGGCCCCCCCGCTTCCAGGAGCGCTCGCGGAAGCTGGGCCACCGCAGGTAGCTGTGGGCACTCAGGCCGAGCCGGCTCCGTGGGCAGAGGTGAGGGGCTGAGGGCCCAGGCCGGGGTTGAAAGCAAGCACCCCGGGCAGCAGCGACACACAGCCCGGCACCCATCTTTGCCGCCCGCCCACTGCGAGGCTGACTTTGCGAAAAGGAGCCTGAAGGGGCTCTTCACCGGTGAGGAAGGGACAGGTTAAGTGCCATGGGGGCTCCAAGTGTACTTTCCCTCCCAGCATCGTAGCACACTTTCCTCAGAGACTGATTTATGAGAGAGAACGCGCGAGCGATCGCACAAGCACGGGGAGCAGGAGGCAGAGGGAGAAGCAGACGCTGCTGAGCAGGGAGCCCAACCCGGGACTCGATCCCAGGACCCTGCGATCATGACCTGAACCAAAGGCATAAGAAGCTGCACCGACTGAGCCACCCAGGCGCCCCATTTCATCACACCCTCGAGCCTTACCAGCTCCGGGCAGATGGTGGTATGAACACGCATGCCCACTCCTGGCTCCCTCCATCGGTGGGCAGACCGGCAGGGACCCGCCCTACAGTTCTGCTCTGACCCCTCTGAGAACCCCCTGTGGGCCTGGCTTCAAAGCCTTCCGCCAAGGGCCGCAAAGGGAAAGGTGGGAAAGCAAGTCCGCACAGGCTCCCGTCCCCCGCTGGCAAGGCAAAGGAGCTCGGGAGGCGCCGTCTTAACTCTGCTCCCATCCGATGAGAGCCCCAGAAGGCTCTGCGCTCATGAAAAGGTCAGGCAAACCTACTAGTTCTTAGGTTCTGGTTTTTTTTTTGTTTTTGTTTTTGTTTTTAAGGTTTTATTTATTTGACAGACAGAGATCACAAGTAGGCAGAGAGGCAGGCAGAGAGAGGAGGAAGCAGGCTCCCCACTGAGCAGGGAGCCCAATGCGGGGCCTGATCTCAGGACACTGGGATCATGACCTGAGCTGAAGGCAGAGGCTTTAACCCACTGAGCCACCCAGGCGCCCCTGTTTTAGGTTTTAAGTAGAGGCTCCAAGTGAACTAACTGCTGGAACAACCCGTAACATAGGGAAAATTGGGTTAGAACAGCCTTTTCCAGGGGCGCCTGGGTGGCTCAGTTAAGCATCTGCTTTCGGCTCAGGTTATGATCCCAGGCTCCTGGGATGGAGCCCATTGGGGATCCCTGCTTCTCCTTCTGCTCCCCCGCTTGTGCTCTGTCAAATAAATAAAATCTTAAAGAAAAAAAAAGTGAACGGCTTTTCTAACACAGTGGAGCTCATTAACGACTTGCAGCAATTTAAGTTAAATTAAAAACCCACCTTCAGCCCCTCGGGCGGCACGTCCGGGGCTCGGCAGGCACACTGGCTGCGGCTGGGGCCCCGGGCCACGCAGACACAGCCAGATGCAGGGAGAGACTGCGGCCCCCTGCCTGGACTCCGCGGGGGCACAAGGCTCTCACACGACGTCAGACACAGCCGTCCGTGGTGTCCGTCAGGGGCAAGGCCTGGCGTCAAGGGCGATCTTGGACAGCCGCTCCCACACAGGCCAACCACCGACCGACCGTTCTAGCCACCAAACACCGCCCCGGCTCCCGGCCCCTCCACGGTGGGGTCGGGGGGCTCTGAGCACCCTCGCCCAGTTTTATCAAGTTCTGCTGGAACCCGGGCTTCATAGGACGGGGTGGCCGCTCCCAAACTCGGGCCCCCAGCGCCAGCGTCTGCCCCGCACGGGTGTCCGTCCCCAACACCACGCACGCATCTCTGCCGCGCCTCAAAGCCAACAGGGACACGCGGCAGGAAAGCCTTGGCCGAGGCCCGCCTGGGGAGACACGGTCCTGACAGTCCGCTGTCCGGTGTCCAACACAGAACACGGTCGGGGTGCCTCACCCTGCGGCCCGATTCAGCACCAGAGCCGCACCTGCCATCGGTCCGCACGCAGACCCCGCCGGCCACCACTGCGGCTACACCCGCCCCCACCCCACTGGAAGCGGGGGTCCCTGAGACTGCGGCCTTGGCGCTCCGAGCCAGCAACGCGGTCCAAAGACGCCCCTGCAGCCCCCGTGGGACGGTGCTTCCTCCCTGCAGGGAACCCTGAGGGAAGACAAAGGCAAGACTGACCTCTCCTCACTGGTAAAGCGAGGCCACTTCTCTCTGCCCACAGCGCCCACGTGCAGGTCACACTCACGTGCCATCACGTTCCCAAGGGACGCATCTGTCTGGGGAGTCAGATGGCCGTCAACAGACGGGAACGTCCTCGGGGTTTAGAATGAGCTAAAGGCAGTTCCACCCCGTGCCCCAAAGAACATTTTATCAACTCGGACACTCAAGCCCCCAGCTGGGAGGGAACGGACAAGCAAACGCAGAACACGTCCACACGGCCAACCCTTCGTAAGAACAGTCACTCAACAGCTTTGGGGACAACACTCGCCAGCTCCCCGACCAGAACCGAGCCACGGCCAAAGCGAAAACAGAGGATCGACCACATAATGATGCCCAAAGTCATACACAAAGGCCTTGCTGGCCTGGCCACACCTCCTCCTACGGCAGGAGGGCTCGGGGCACGCACAGGACGCCCCTGCAACGTGCCACCCACGCGCCTCCGGAGACAGCTCCTGGGGAGCGAAGGCACACATGAGGCCGAGGAAACCTGGAAACAAAAAGTCATTTTGAATCCGAGACCAGCGCAGAGCCCAGGAACCTGCGCGGACGGGTCTGGACATCACTTCCCACCGTTCCAGTAATATTTCCAGCCGCCTCCTGTGTGCCCGGGTTCCTCCCGGAAAACCTCCTCTTACTTGAGCTTCAACGGTCCATTTTCGCCTTAAATGGAAGGCAAAATCCAAAACCCCCAGGAAGCCAGGACCATCCGTGAGCAACACGACCAGCAGGGGGAACAGAGACCTCCCTCAACCTCCACGCCACTCAGCGGATTGTAGGTTTTATAGAAAATTTTATTCAACATACAACATTTTCCAGCAAAAAGGCAATATACAGGAAGAGTTGGTGTACATTGCTGCTACAGAAACAAACAAAAATCCTGGAAAAGGATGAAAAATAAGTGTGATCTGCTGATTCTATTTTACTGCACTCAAAACTAGACACGCAGCCGGCATTAGCTCCAAAATAAAAGGAAACAAGCCTGGGACTGAAATAAAACTACACACAATGAGTATCAACATCAGTGAAAGTCACTTAAATGCACCCAACAAAGTCACCTCCTCCCAGTGGCGAATTGTACATGTTCATTCATTAAATATACAATTTCATTTCTCTCTTTTTTTTTAACTTTTTTACAAAGTCGACAGCTTACTGACCACTAGTGAGCATGCCCTCTTTGCTAAAAGGCCCTCCTTGTCTCATGCTGTCTGCTCCGCTTCGAGAACTTCTACTGACACCCGCTTCACTGCTTGCAGGGACGGTGAGCTCGCTAGGCCTGCCGAGGGGCAGCAGAGCACACCTAGATCTGCCCGGTGTTTCCAAGTGAACAGAAAGACCCAGGACCGCCCGCCAGGCCCGCATCCGTATCCGGCGCCTCCACAGCGTGCGCGGCTGCGGAATGGTGGTGGCTGGCGGCTGAGACACGTTTACTGAGACCCAGGCAGCGGGAGGAGGACCGAGGAAGGGGGACAGTACACGCAGTGAAGGAAAGAGCACTATTTATTAGGTTGTGAGTTTCTCTGTTTTGCCTTTACAGATGCACAGAAGGTCATGGCAAGTAGAACGGAGGGAAATACGGCAGACGAGCCTCCACGCGAGCCCAGCGGCAGGGCCGGAGACCGCGACCCCAGGAAGGCAGCCGGGCGACCTCCGCCCGCTGGGAACACACCAGAGGCCTCTCGCCAGAGCCTCGCGGCCCTCGCCCCTTCCCCCACCCCCATTATGCTGGCGGTCGCCTTGCACTGTGGTTACCGTAAAATAACTCTCATTGGCATCCAAGCTTTATAAAAACACCTTCATTTTGCTCAAAAAGGGCAGTCAATAGATACAGAGAAGCCAAACTGAACAGCCTCAACAAAATAAAATTAACATCAGCAGCAAACCCTCTTGCTGAAGACTTCGGACAGAGTGCACGTGGACCAAAGTTCTAGGCTGTTAAAAAGGGGCACACACCCACGCACGGCCCCTCGCCTTGCACACACTGGGTAAGGAAGTCAGTTATGGATTTTAATGGCCTTTTCCAGGTAAGTGTAGCGACTCCTCTTTGGGGCTTTGTTGAAGTGGTCGAGCCCTAGCCAAGGCCGAGGGTGAGACATGTTACCTGGTGGAGAGAGAGACACGGCTGAGACCGGACGGACAGCAAGCCCAGGAGCGGCAGGGCCAGCGGCCCTCGGGGCGGCTCCCGGGGAAGCTGGGGCTCCGAGCCAAGCCCCACCCACCCTCACAGACCGCGCCAGTGGCTTCCCGGTGCGCCCTGCCAGTGAGCCACCGACGTGACCGTGGCCACGCGCCGCTCCTCCCTGCTTCACATGCACAGACGCCACCGGGACCCGGGGTGGGCCGCCCGCTGCTCGGCCCGTGGAAGGGCGCTTACCAGGCTGGGGCTCAAAGTCTTTCAAGTTCACTTCATACTCATCCTCGTTGATGTACTGGTGTCGGCCCATCATCACAATGGCAAATTTAAACTGAAAGACAGAAGGGCCCTCCTCCGTGAACTCCAGGCGCAAGCAAACGCTCCCCTCTGGCCCAAGTCTCAGCTGCTTCCTGAGCCGAGATTTCGGGGCGCGGCCCGTACACCCCTCCCAAGTGCCCAAGGCGCGCACCTTCTCGAACTCCTTTTCCTGGATGTCCAGCAGACTCTGAATCCGCTTCATGACTTCTCTGAAGTGCTCGCCCTGCGGACGGTGAAGGACACGTGTGCGCACACTCACCTGCGTGCGGCCCGCGTGGACGCCGGCGGAGCTCCGCATCCACCCAGCGGGCAGGGGCCCCAGCTCGGCAGCGCGAAGCCCCCAGCACCGGGGGCGGTGGGTCCTCGACCTCGCAGCCCGGCCCTCACCTGGTGTATCCTCAGCAGAAACGGAACGCCAAACGTCCCAAACACCTCCTTGTGGAAGTGCGCCACAGTGACCAGCATCTCGTTCTCCGTGTCTATGTCCACCTGGTCCAGAGGGATTTCCTGCAGACCCAGAGGAGACACGCAGCTGAGCGACACGGTCCATGCACACCAAGGCCGCGTTCGCTTCTGACTCGCTGCTCCGACAACGCAGCTGAGGCTTATCTTGTCCCAACACCACATCCGGGTCTTGTTAGGATGAGACCTCGGAGGTAGAAGGCATCTGCGTTTTTGTTTTTTTTTTTTAAGATTTTATGTATTTGACAGAGAGAGATCACAAGTAGGCAGGGAGGCAGCCAGAGGCGGTAGAGGGGGAAGCAGGCTCCCTGCCGAGCAGAGAGCCCAATCCGGGGCTCAATCCCAGGACCCTGAGATCATGACCTGAGCCGAAGGCAGAGGCTTTAACCCACTGAGCCACCCAGACACCCGGCATCTGCATTTTCTTAAAGAAACGGAGTTTGGGGAGACCGAATGACGTCACTGGAAATCCCAGCCACTCCTCCGTCAACATGGAGCCCCAGCTTCTGGCCAGATGTGCCTGTGGCCCGTATTCAGAATTCACTCCCGAGCACAAGCCGTCTACGACCCTACATATATAGGGACCGCTGGCAGTCAAAGACATGGTGCCTGGGGCAGGGGAGAGCAGGCGGGGAGCTGCTGGGAAGGGGACCGACGTGCGCGGACACATATGGCGGGGAGGGCCGCTCAGCTGCACACGCCTGAAGCGCTTAGAGAGGAGAATTCTACATTATGTAAATTCTGTCACAATGAAACAGTAACTTCTCAAAATGTGTAAGAGCAAAGCAGCTGCAAGGAACGGCCTCTACTGGTACCACGCATGGCCCCGGGGCCGCGCCCGCAAGTCCGTGCCGTCGGAGGGGGGCGGGTGGCCATCGCTCTGGCCAGGGCGCCCACAGGGAGGGCCGGTTACCTCGATTCGAAACGTTCTACTCGTCGCTGGGGATAAGCATTCTAACAGCTCGTCTTCCTGGTGCACCCCGATAATCTTGTAGCTTACAATCTCCAGCAGCCTGCACAGAACAGGGGGGAGTGAACTACATCAATTTGTGTGGGGGAGAGACGGATGAGTAGCTTCCTAAGAAGAAATTCTTTATCAAGTAGCTATCGACAGCTGCGTATTTTCTTCCTCTTCAGAGAGCTGAAAGGTGCAAAGTGGGCATCATCGGGGAGCACACGCACAACCGCGGACAACCCCGGTCGGCGGCCCCCGCGTCGAGGCAACGCGGCCCCATGCGGGTGGAGGGATGGAGCGGAAACCGAGCGTCCAGGAGCTGTGTGCCCTGTGCCCACGATGGTTCCCATCGGGCAGGACTTGTGGTATTTTGCTCCTGCACTCATTAGAGAATAAAGATCTCATTCTTTTATGAATATCACGGAGCAAACGTTCCGGGAACCCAACAGCCCCAAGGCCTGTTTTGTCCTGGGAACACACGGCAGGGCACCAGGGCGAGCGGGCCCGACTCTGACACGCACGCTGCCCGCCGAGTCCGGGCTTCTGTCTCCAGGCGGAGAATCAGGTTCACGGGTCAGAAGCGCTTGGTTTTCTCAAACGCAACCGAGAGCAGCTCTGCCCAGTTTCGGCTGATACGCACTTCAATCCTCTCTCCACTGTGTTGACTTTTTTTTTTTTTTTTTAAAGATTTTATTTATTTATCTGACAGAGAGATAGAAAGCACAAGAAGGCAAGGTGGCAGGCAGAGGGAGAGGGAGGAGCAGGACGCCCGACACGGGGCTCGCTCCCAGGACCCGAGCTGAAGGCAGACGCTTTACTGACTGGGCCACCCCAACACCCCAGGCGTTGACTTTTCTACCCGAATCTCATCTTTACTACGTCTTAGTAACGATCAGGAGACAGGGAAGGAAGGAAGGAAATATCGCTCGACTATGACGTATTTATACACTGTCACAGAAGCCAGGCCGAGCGCCGGTCAGCCCCTGTGTGCGGGTCCAGTAATACGGCCGCGGGGTCCGGGGCCAGCACCTCCCCCGGGACGCCTCCGACTTCAGGAAATACTTGCCTAAGTTTCCCTGACGCCTTCTCCCCGAGCTCAACAGCCTTTTTACATTCTTCCAGCAGGTCCCGGACGCACCCGTGCTTATCGGGATAGAGTGTTATTTCCTAGCAAAGGGCAAGAGGAAAGGAAACATAAGGGGGTCTCTGCTCACACACACCCACGCTGCTGGAAGAGGGGAAAACACTGCACGAGATGTTCAGTTGTCCCAAGCCCCCCCCAATCAGGACACCCCCACCCTGAACGCCCCGATACGCACACTCTGACCCCCGGCCCCACCCCAGGGGAGTTTAAGAAATGCCGCTTTGATGCCAAAAGGTTGCCATTCACAGGACAGCTTCTCAGCAAACCCCCACACAGAAGGCCACCTCCTAGTCTGCGCTCTGAGCAAAGTGACACCGGGAGAGAGTGTAAGCCTTGACAACGACCGGAGTTGGACTGGAGGATGTCAGCCTACGGATCCACCCAGATGAGCATGTTTATGGCTCATGGCGTGCACTGCCATTCAAAACTGGCCCAGCTACAAAGGTGAAACGCTTGGGTCCAAGCAGGGACGGACCTCCTAGAGCCACCAACTCATGGGGGTACGGCGCGCTCTCAGTTAACAGCGGGTGTCCACATCCTCCACCCGCACCCCCCCGCCGCCCCGGCTCTCAGGCCCCCTGCTGTTGCCCAGGGGGCTGGGCAGAGGAAGAAACAGTTCGAAAAGCAGTGGTGGTGGCAGGAGGGGGACAGAGGGCCACTAATACCCTTCTTTCGTTGTTTTAGTTTTCAAGGGCTAGATAGACAAACATTAAACACACACCAATGAAAATAAAAATAAATAAAAATTCATATCATTAAAAAGCACATACCTCTTCCCTAAACTGGCTGTTTAACCAAATACACTTAAAACTTCGTCTGTTTTCAAAGTCTGTGATTTTCATCTTAAGCTGTTGAGAAAAGAGAGACTGTTAGATCCGTCTCCACAAAACCCAAGCCTTGTCCTGACGACCCACGGTTATGTGAATTCGGACTCATACCTGCTGATAGTAAAGCTTCTTAGGTTGTCTAGGCTTGAAGAACTGTAGGAGATCTCTTAAAGTCCCTTCATAATTATGTCTAAGAGGGTTACCCGGGCCGTCCCTATAACTGCACAAGAAAAAAGCATAAAAACAAATGACTTGTTTGTTTACCTAAAATATCCGTGAGCATAAAACAAACCACTGCCCTTACGCCCAGAGCCAAAATGTGGGCCTGGCACAAGGCTTCCCACCACACTCCTGTTTCCAGAGCCCCTGGGCCCCCAGGGGCCCCACCTGCGCTCTCGGCAATGGGGACACAGTGTGCGCGAGCCTGGCTGGGGAGGACCTGGCTGGATGCGCAGGAGACGCGGGGGGTCATGTATCTAAAAAGTCAGTCAGGCTCTGGGTGAGGCCGCCCGTTCCTCGGACGTCAGGAAGCAGTGCAGTCAGGATGTGTGAGGTGACCACTCTCTATCGGAAACTAAGTAGGGGCATGTCAGGTGCCGCGGCCCCCCACTCATGGGATTGGTTCCACAATGTCCGGATCAACTCTGGAGAGCAGGCAGTACAGACCCTGATATGAGGTGATGGGGCCCGCCTTACCCTTGAGACTTGAAAAACTGGAGCAACATGGGGTCCGTGTTGAGCCTCTGGGCCACTGTCTTTGCAACCTGGGAGGAAGGAAGGTACCCAAAGTCAGAGAAGAAGGCTCGTGTTGGGGAGTGAACTAAAATTTGCTTATAAGCTTTACCATTAACTATTTACCGAATGTTCTTAATAAAAAATTGTGATATAAACAGCCTGAATTTTCATGGCCTAAAAATCCACCACCTGCTGAGAATAAACCACTCCCTGGTGTATCCCCAGCAGCCCATCGGTGAAATTAGCTATGAAAAAAGTATTTTTTAAAGGAAAAAAAAATCCCTTTAGCCCGAAACCACATGCCTGAGATTAAGGCCTGAGCTGAGATCAAGAAACAGACACCAAACCGACTGAGCCACCCGGGCGCCCCAACGGTCTCTCACGTCTAATGGTGAGGTCTACAGGTTTACTTGCCGATGGCAAGCTGGAACAGAGACAAAGCTGTTCTAGAAACTGCCATCTCCGAAACCGTATCATGCCGGGGTGGATGGGATGGGAGTCGAGGGTCAGCGCTAGCACCAATCCCGTCCAGAGCCACTCAGACCCCGGGGCCGTCGCCCTTCCTCCGGAACCGAGCCCGTCGGCTCCCTCAGCAACCCTCCCTTTTTAAAAAGGACTCGGTCTGATGTGGAATCTGAAGGGGAAAGAGCCTTTATCAAATACCTGAAAATAATTCATTCGGTTTGATAATGTAACCACGAATCCAGGATCATTAGGGATTGTTTTATCACAGAAAATGACATCGACACGGTGGTAGAGGTCTCGGAAATATTCTTTTGCAGTGGGTAGTTCACTGTTATCATTTTCAGGATCATCCCTGGGGGAAGAAAGGAACAGAATGCAGACTGAATCAAAATCCAGGCCAGGCACAATGGTTTTTTAAAAAGAAATAAAAAGGCACCACCTCTCGAACCACAGTGACACAGACAGGTATGGACAGAAGTTCTGACTAACCCTGTGGCTGCTAGGAGTCTGGAGTCTGTCCCAGCTGCTCTGTCAGCCAGGACAGTAAGGGACGGCCACCACACTAGAGGGTGTGCTTTGAGCCTCCCACGTGCCCATGCAAACGCACCTGCTGCTCTTGATCTCGATACGAACACAGAACCGTGTCCTCCTGTTTTATACACAGGGAGGGACTCGGCAGGACGTGCCTCACAGCAGAGGCTACTCTGACCCCGAGCTGGCAGGCAACCACTTTCCTGGTAAGGCAGCAGGGCCCAGTAGTCGCGAAGCCTAAAATATTTACTACCTGGCCCTCCAAACCTACGTCCGCCAAGCCCGGTGCTCGTGGGATCCCCGTGACCCGTGTTCAACACTGCCACGGCCAGATGGCTTCTCCAGGAGCCCCGGCGAGGCCGCCTGCAGACAAAGCATCTAAGACCACAGACCTGCTGGTGTGACAGGCACAGGGACTTCAACGAGTCCCCTATGCAGGTGCGTGCCGGGGACGCTCGCGCTGAGGGGCAGGAAAACCACCCTGCTGCTGGCCGGGCTGCTGCCCCGCTCGGAGCTGCAGTGCTCGTCACTGATTCTTAGGAAACCGTTCGTTCTATGAGGAAAAGGTTCGCTGTCCACGATCCCCAAACCGAGAGAGGGGCCAACTTCCATCCACATTCTCAGCTACTTCGAACAGAATCTGACTAACTCAGGGTCTTGACACAGTTTTGTTTCCTACTTCTGGGGCTTATGGGAAAACTATGAGTACAAAGTGATTCAGTCCTTCAAAAAGTACTTACTTCTGGAAGACTATAATGTCACCGTCCATTAGTTCATCAAGGGCTTTATCAAGAGACACGTCGTAGTCCTGAATTCTCTCTGTTAAATTCGGTTTAACTTCCTACAGTGAAAGAGAAGAAAGGTTCCCGGTGAGCATCTGTCCGTGTTCCACACGGCCCGACGCCGCAGGTGCTCTCCCGGAGAGTATCGTTCTCTCTGCCCTACATTTCTAGTAAGTGAAAATGCTAACGGGAACGTTACCATCCACAGAGACGTAATGCCCCTGAGCCCGAGTGAGGAAAAAAAAATATCTAGACGTCTACAACTGTGACCCTCACCTCCACACCAGCCGGCCCCACCAACTTAGCTGCCGACCTCACAAAGCGATGAAGCCAGGGCAGCAGAACAAACGAGAAGAGCCCTCCCCAAACCACAAGCGATACAGTGTTTACGGAGCAACAAGCCGTCCAAACCTCATAGAGGATAAGGCTAGTATCTTGGATAAATCCCGCTCTGTCACACATAACCGGGAGCAAGTCACCTGCATTCGAGGAAAACAAGAATCCAAAGCTGTGATGAGCCAAGACTTGAGCAAAACCAACCTCGAGGGTGAGGGCAGGAGGACTTACGTATTTTACAGGATATTGGTGTGTAGATGTGCCCACAGTAGTTCAAGCTCCGTGTTTTGGGGTCATACATTTTCAAAAACAGCATGACATCATCTACGAGATTAATAAACAGGTTTTGTTAGGATCTTACCACGTGGGACAATGTTCCAAAAACATGAACAAGAGATGACCAAAATGACAGCCTTTGGCACCCAAAAGCCATCGTGTCCGCCGAGGTTCATCAAAGACTGAATGACCCTTGAGTCCAGTGTCATTCCACACATCGGGCCCCCGGGAAACACTAATCCAAGGCAGTGAGGATGGGACTGAGGGCCTTAACCTTATCAGGCATCTTATTTTCAAGGCCAGGTACTAACCAGCTAGCTGAGTGCTGCCATGAGAAAACGCTGATATTGTGTGTCCTTGCAGCAGGAACAAGGGACCGTTTCAGAGCAAGCATCAGCAGGCTCTGACCCACGTGTTATGTCAAAAAAAGCCGTGCCAGAAGACAGCCAACCTGTTCACCAATGCCTTCTCTGCGGCCCCCGACGGAGGGCAGAGGCCACAATGGCCCACGAGTGTGAAAGGCTGACTACCCAGCCCTCGGCAGGGTGCGCCTGCAGCCCTGCTCTGCGGCAGCCCATGAGGCACGCAGGAAACCACGGGGCCAAGGCCACAACAGGACACAAGGACTCAGCACGGCCACAGGCTGCTTGCCACCAGCAGCCAGTCGGGCCCACTCAGCTTCGCCAAGAAGCCTGAGCACGGAAAGGGGTCCGGGACGTATCTGGAACTGGACTCCACGGCAAAAGAAGAACACCGAACCCCACGTGTGTCTAGACGCTGGGATCCAGTGCTGCTGCTCCAGGGACACTTACGATCTTTGTCAAACTTGGGTAACGTGGCCCCGCTGGCAGCAAGCTCCGGATCAACGGTCTCCAGGAATATTGTCCATGGATTTTCATTATCGCTCAGTTCAATCATCTATTTCCAAAAGAGATGCTGGTGTTAGACTACTTCAGGGGCCAATGAGAGTGAAGACCACGGCCACCCACGAGTCAGTGGGCCAGAGGCAGATAAGTCACGGCAGCACCCGGCGCCTCCCGCACATGGCCCTCACCGTCTTGTTGCCGTCTGCCTCGTTATCCAACATGGCGGGCCGTTTGGTTCCATTGCTCCTCGCCTGCATGGGCCATAATCGAATTTGATCTTGTGGAAATCCCTGAAAAAAATTAAAGCTAAATTAATTAAAACAAAATCGGCTCGTACTTTAATTCCTTATGCACGCCAGGATTCCAGGATTAGAAGAAATAAAACAACAGAGCTCTCCCTGCTGACGTGGACAACAGAGACCACCCACCACCCCGCCGTCCCCATCAGGGTCCCCAGTATGCCAGGGCTTGAATGCCTGGTCCCTGCTGGTCCAGGGAGTAAGGAAAGGAGGCAGAACCTGGAGGTCAAAACAACCACCCCCAGAATGGCCGGCACTCACCATGGTCTGAGAAAGGTTCTGGACAAATTCAGTCAGGGAGGAGTTTTTCAATACTTTGAACACAGTGTATTTCACTTTTTCTTCATCGTACATATCATTTCCTTGGTGGCCACAAAACTGGTCCTCTGCAACTATCTGAAAATACACAGAAAACATGCAACAGAATTTCCAACCGTGAGACCACCCCGAGCAAAGCAAAGTTTCAATAGTAACATGAGCTAATCTTGTGGTTTCTAGCACCCTTCTTCAGGAGACCCAAGCAGACAAGAATCAAGATGACGAAGGACGAAATGGGGTGCTGAGTCAGAAAGTATGAACACCTGTGCCCCCACACACTCACACCCCCTCCCTGAGGGGCGAGCTGGAAGCCCATGCCTGGCACTGCGGGTTTTGACTGCCCAGGCCCAGCCAGGAGGCTCAGCGCGTTTCTCTTCCCAGGCAACCAACCTGCGGAGGGCAGCGACTGAACCGTGAACCCAAACCTTCTCGAAGTTCACCCTCTTGTCCAGGTCTCCTTCCTTCCCTGTCACCGGTTACATTTCTCTGTGGCCTGGAGCACCACCTCCCACCGTTGGCCGGCCCTCCCATGCCCCCCCCCCAGGGGGCCCTCCCCCCGACACCCTGCCCCCGCCGCCCCCACACAAGACACCCTAGCACGGACAGTGCGCAGCCCAGTCCGGGGGCCGACCTGCACTTGCATGTAGAGGTGGGCTTCCTGCCGCTCCTTCCGCTTCTGCGCCTCGATCCTTTTCTCCTCCTGGAGTCGCTCTACCAGCTGCTGAGGGATGTCGTGGTCGGTGACCGCTTGTAAAACCTCACCTGCACGACAAAGTACGGTTGCTCACCTCCTCAGAAGGCCCCAATGCCATGTCCTCGTCAACACAGTCATCTTCAAATCCAAGTCCTCGGGACCGAGAATCCACATGAAAACCCACACGCCCCACCCAGCTGGCCAGGAGGACACGCGAGCCCGGCGGAGGACAGCACCCCGGGAGCAGGGACTCGGGCCCGCCGAGCCAAGCGAGGGGCGCTACTCACTGAGCTTGGACTCCCTGATGTACACCAGCATGTAGGCGTTGGTGCAGTGCCGCACGGACAGGTCGTCGTCGTGGCCCCCGTAGTTATGCTCGATGGCCTCCTCCTTCGTACACCTGGACACCACGTCGTCGTCGAATTTGCACCACTGGCAGGGAGAGCAAGGAGACATGCAGAGATAAAGCACACAGGCAAAGAGGCGGGGTTTTCCTAAAACAAGGCACCCAAGGATGTGCCAAACCAGGGGGCCTCCACCGAGCTGCCTGGCACCCTGGCCGACCCCGGCCCGCACTCGGGGGGACCGGGAAAGCGCATCTGTTGGCTGTTCTGTCTTACATGCCAACAGCCCACTTCAACTGGGAATCAATCGACCATACAACTCTTCACAGATCTGAGATAATCAGACAGGGCACACCTCCCTCTGCTAGTAAAGCTGAATTTTATGGTCCAGTTATGAAACTAAAAGGGGACATTTGATCCTATCATGACATATTATCTCAGCAAGTGAGGGCCTGACTTAAATAAAAGTCAGCAGAGTTGTACGTTATACTGATCTTCCCATCTCATTGTGGACCGAGTCACTTTCAACACTACTAAATCTCACAGTGAAAGGCTCACCGTGGTCTGGTGCCGTGTGGGTCCCTCCACCAACTCTCAGGTCAAGCGAGGCGGGCTTGGCCTCTGCTCGGTTCCTCACTGGCCCTAGGGTCCTGGACACAGACCCCGAGGACGCCCTGGTCCCCTGGGGAAGACTACGAGAGCAGATCCAGGCAAACCAGGGGAAGACGGTGCGTCACCAAGTGGGGATCACCAGGCACCCAGAGGGATTGCAATCGACAGGGGCCCCCGCCCAGGCCCGGGCCGTGGGGAGGACTCTGCTGGCATCCTTAAGTGCCAAATACATGCCTCACTGGACATACGAAGGGATAAAGGGCCAAGCTCGACACTAATAATGAGAGGCACGCCATGTATAATCACTGATTTTCTATTCACCTCTGAAGTAGCAGCGATTAATGCACGAGGGCACGCAGATACCCCAGAGCCCAGAGTGGACTCCTTCGCTGTCCAGGCCACCCGACAGGCATGGACAGAGGCACAGCTCAGGGTCAGGGTGAATGACCTACACACCATCACATCCGACTCCACCCCTGCCCAGCACTTACTTTGCCGTCCCCTTTGGGGTTCAGATAAACCACATAATGTCCACCATGATTATCTCCACTGTGAACCAGGACTGCATGAAGGATATAATTTGCAGGGTCCTTAGGATCTGTTTTTTGCAAAAATTCATCGAGTGGTAACTGTTCTGGGAATTCAAACCTATCAAAAAACATTTTTAAAGAAATCCAGGTTTCATTCACACGTGAAATAGTTTACCTTTAGGCTTTAATTTATTGCTAGACGGTCTGATTTACTGGCTAATCTTTATCTAGAAAGGGAAGCATCATTGGGACCCGGGAGGTCCCATGAACTACTTCTGAGGCAGCTCCCATTCATCAGAACACGTTAATTACTCAGACGTCAGAACAAACTTGAAGCCAGGCAGCAGGAAAATGCCTCTAAGCGCACTGAGATACCGGACAGAATCTTACATTGAAGATATTACACAACAGCCAGTCTTGCGATAAGCATACACCATGACTTCTCTAGGATGCGGATAATTCCAATGTTACTAACGAGTAATTCTGACTGCCCAGCTCGTAGACCAGAGAGCATATACTTGAGTCTGAGAAACATGGGACATCAGATCTGAACAGGTAAGACATGGAAGAAAGGATCCCCTGTGCCCCGTGATTTCTAGTTCACATACTGAACTTGACCGGTCTTTAAATGACTGGGGTCCGTAAACATTTTAACAACATGGTCAAAGTTAATGAGGAGAAGTGCCCTGAGAGGCGGGTTGGCAAGGACTCGGAGGAGATCGAGCACACGGAGCCTGAAGGGGCAGCCACCCCAGCCCAGTACCACCCAATCGTGGCTGCTCTGCCAAATGTTCAGAATTCCTAAAGGACGCCAAAAATCTGGGTTTTTATGCAAAATCTCATGATTTTTTTTTCATGCTGGCAACAAATGCCAATAAAAACAAACAAAAACAAGGTGAGGGCCCAAAGAAATACACCAGCAGGCTGGCTGTAGTCTGCAGGCTGCCAGTCTGTGATGTCTGGTGGAGACGGCTTCTTAGAGACTCCACAGTGATGGGCAAAAATGAAAGAGCAAAGAGCAGGCTGGTAGCAAGTAACCTGACTGGGCCTGTTCTCTCTCCAGTTTGATGAGTGACTAACCATCCTCTACCCTGTGCCCAAATGAACCAGGACAAAACTTCTGTATTGTAAACCAGATAAAGTATTTACTATCATTCTTTTTAACTGGCATTGTAAGAATGGGGAAAACACCTGCAATAAGGCACACACATACATCTACTTCATCTTCCTGAAAATTCCAGCACATTCTAGAATACCAACTGAGCAGTTACAAAATGTTGGGAGAATCCTATTTAAACGAATACAACATCAAATTCCACTCCTGAGGTAAAAGTGACGTTCTGGTGAATGCAGAACAGGCGGAGAGGAAAGTCCCCTTCCCTCAGGGACCTCATCTGCCACAGTACGGAGGGAGCTGGGGATCCCTAAGAGCGAGTAACGGGAGCAGCAGCCCCTGAAATCCCTTAAGGGAAATATTCCCTTTAAAACCATTGTTCTTGGGACACTGAGGCAGGAGACAGACCCAAATACATCAGAGATGGACTGAAAATATAGAAAGACCAAACAAAACACTGAGACTGACCCCCGAAGTCAGGCGATGACTCAATCTTAACTTTCACACCCCACTATAGATTACCTATCATTGATCTTGATATTTTGGTCCGTCTGAGGGTCATACATAAATCTCATCAGCTGTAGATGTAACACTGGTGGCAAAGTTAGGAATTTCACACCTTTCTCTGCTTCCTGAACATTGAAAAAGAAATGCAAGTTTAGTTCAGCCCTACTTAGTCCTTGAAGCAAGGACAGCAACAGCGGTCAGCGAGATTCGGTGGGAGAGGAAGGGCTTCAGGTGTCCAGCTACGGTGTGTTTAAAATGCCGTTTAAGAAACAGGATCGTGGGTGGCTCAGCTGGTTAAGCGTCGACTCTTGGTTTCACTCGGGTCATGATCCCAGGGTCGTGAGATCGAGCACCCGTGTTGGGCTCCGCACTTGGGAATCTGCTTGATACTTTCTCCCTCTCCCCCAGCTCGCATGTTCTCCACACCCCTCTCTCCCTCAGATAAATAAAATCTTACACACACACACACACACACAGACAAGAACCAAGCTCAAACATAGAACTGGTGGTTGTCAGAGGACAGGGGATAGGAAGTGGGAAGGGCCACTAGAGGTGAGGGGGGTCAAGAGATCCGAACTTCTGGTTACAGCACAGGTCCCAGACCCGGGCGCGCCAGGGTCAGGGCACGTGAACGCCGCACCCCGGCGCGGCCCTCCCGGAGCAACCGATGCTGCACGTCAACGATGCTTCGACCAGAAACGAAAGTCCACTGTTGCGCTTACATCTCTCTCCGGTTTGCTGAAGTAGCTTGCGTGTGAGCGATTTACTCCGGATTATATTCTGACGCCCAACACGGGGTAGCAGCTAAGCGAATTAGGGCTTCATCACTAGCTGCCGTGTTACACGGTCGTTAAATCCCGCGGGAAGCAGGAACACACACAAAATCGTGCGCTGGGAAAGCAGAAGCTGGGGCTGCGGCGACGCGAGAGCAGGCGCGCTCACGGACCCCCGGCTGGAGCGGGTGCGGCCGCTCACGGTCCCGGGCGGACGACGCTGGTCAGCGGCTTCCTGCCCCTCGACTCTGGGCACGGTCACTTCCGAGCACATGACGCAGCGCACAGGCTCGGCGCTTACAGTCCAACCCACTTCTGGAGACGGTCCTCACTCAGCGGCAGACAGACCCTCACAGCAGCAACGCGGCCCGCTTCTCAACAAGGCCTCGGGGGCCCGACTCCACAGCTCCCACACCGCGGGCCCCACCTCAGCCGACACGCGTTTCCTCACGAGAATAAGCCTCTGCCCAACCCTACCACTACCAGAGCCCCGGGCTCTCATCCCAGCCCAGCTTCCCAGTCACACCTTCCTTCCAGGCCCGGGTACGTCCAGCCGGAGCTGGGCCTGTGACAAGCCACAGGCAAGGCGCCCTGAGGTCTCCTGAAGCTGCTCAAGAGGACAAAGTACCTCTGCAAAGAAAAACGAAAACCCGAGGAACCTGCCACACGAAGGCACGGCATGGTTTCCATGCAGCTGAGAACAACAACAGAAGAACCGTTTCTCTGCCACAGTCCACCAAGGTCAGGATTCTCAGGTACCGCTTACCCGGACCCCAAACTACCCGGTGTGGCAGGACAACGCTCGCGAGCTGCTCAAGTGTATCCGGAACACATCTCGGCCACGCGTTTGCCAAGTGACTTTCTGAGCCGCACACAACGCAGCACGCTGACCCGCGACGCCCCGCAAAGCGGGGACACTGTTCCAAGTCGGCCAGCTCGGGACACACGGGACAGTGTGGGGAATCGCCAACTGCTGAGCCCACGCGTCGGCTGCATCCGTGAGGACGCAGCTGACCCGCTCACACCGCCGGACGGCAGCCGGGACAGGCCACAGTCCACGTCTCTCCACCGGAGCACGGACGGACCAGTCCCTTGTGCACAAAGTCCGCTGCTCCGCCAGCAGCTGACAGCGCCTGTGGGGCTTTGTGGGAACCACGCAGGGACACAGCGTATTCACAGAACAAGCCAAAGAAAATGCACTCCTCGTTCTCCAGGTCCCGATCCCTGAGAAAACGAACTCCACCACACACACACACACGCCTAAGCGCGAACCACCACGAACCAGACGTGCAAGAGAGTCAGAACGTCCGCTGTAACCAGGAGAGGAGGAAAAGCTCCCGGCGGAAACCAGTGAGGAGAGGAGCAGAGTCACAGACGCCACCCAACGGCGGCACGGGGTCTCCCGGGTGCTGGGGGACGGCTCTACCCCAGAAGCTACATGTCAGCCTCCCGCCCGCAGCTCAGCCCCACCAGCAGCACGATCGGAGGCCCCAGAATACAGCGTCTGCACGAAGGAGTAAAACCCCAAGCTCTAACCCGAGCTCTAACCACAAGCAGTGGATGAAAAGGTACAAATGCCTGTTTCATCCACAACTGAAGCAAAGGACGCGAAAACACAGTGACGGGGAAGGCGGCCCACGGTTCCCACGTTACCTGCAAGCCGTGCTCCCCCGCGTCGTATTTATTGTCACCGTCTAGTTGTTCCACAGCCACGTAATCCACAAATGATTCAAATACTTGAAAGACAGAAAGAGAAGAAAGAAAAGTCAGCCGACGATTTCACTGGAGCCTTGATGGTAACGCAGCCGTCCCAGAACCCTGCCGCAGGCAGGGGAGGAGAGCCGACGGAATGACAGCCCTGGGCGGCGGCTCCCCACCCCTCCCGAGACCCGCCACACCTGCCGCGACCATCCCCACCACCGCTCCGCAGAAGTCCCGAACCTCTAAGAACACAGACATGGTTCTGACCCAAACACTTATCATAAAGCTACAGCTGAAGTGGGGCAGGACGAGAGCGGGACCATGGGGACGGGAGGGACAGGCTGGGACATGAGTAAGATGAATCAGGGCAAGGACCGAGCATCAATCACAGGGACTGAGCCGAGAACCTCCCGTTGCTAGGACAGCAGAACTCAAATGCCCTGCCTCGCACACAGAGGACCCTGTGCAGGGACAGGTGTGTTCACCGGGATGGAGCGCTCCTCTCACAGGGTGTCCAGAAGAATCACAAGGCTCCCTCCGAACAGCTTACAATTCTGTCAATTAAACCACAACAAAGCTAGGGGGTGTGGGGAAGATGGAGAATTCGCCAGGGACAACCAGTGGACAAAAGACAGCATCTAAACGCAAATCCACACGGACAGAACGTCCAACTGCTGAGGAGGTGCAGAGCATGGGGAGCATGTGACAGGTTCACCAGAGACCCGCATGCGGAGGGGCAGGCCTGACATCCTACCACGGGCAGAAAACCATTCTGGGTGGACTACGGATAAAGAGAAAAGATAAAATAGTAACAGATAAGAGAACAGTTGGATGTCAGGGCAGGTGTCCTTAACACAAAAAGCAGAGAACAACAGGCTGATTTCACTCAGAATTCTGAAATGCCATTTAGCAACAGAGGAGAGCCCCAAGCGGGGGAGCAACTCAGCGACGCCACCAGGCGAGCACCCCAGCGCATGCAGAAGCCCTTTTGCGATACTCCAGCCGGACTGACACGCACGGGCCTCGCTCTCCTGTGCTGCACGAACTCACACCCTGGACAACGGGCAGTCCAGGACGGGGATCTGGAAAGAGCCTGTCCCCCGTCCCAGCTCATGTGCGGAAGAGAAACCCACACAGGGCCCAGCCCCCACCCCCGACAGAGGGCAGATACCATCTGGGGCCGAGGTAAGAACTGCCCAAAAGATAGTGGTGGGGGGTTGGGGGGGGGGGAAGGGCTCGCAGGCCCCAGAGCTCACGCCGGCCTGAG